GCCACCACCAGCACTCCCAGACCAGCTCCAGGTGAAGACCAGGACACACACTGGAGTCAGGGACTCACCTCCTGCACCTCTGGGAAGCTGGAGTGCCGTGGCATGGAGCCCTTGCCACCACAGCCCTGCGAGCACAGCAAGCCCTGGTTACCCTGTGTGTCCTGGCAGGCTGGCAAGTGACAGCCCCATGAAGCCTCCTCATCTCCTCCACCCAAGCAGCTTACTTTGAGGGGTATTTCCTGCTCATACACCATTAACAGCACTGCCAATCACTCTTCCTGCAGCCATCTCCCCTCGGGAAGGGCAGGGAGGCAGCCCCAGCGCAAGCCCAGGGGGAGCAATCCCTGCCGGGGAGGGATGGGGCCAGGGCACCCCGAGGAGCCATGACAGGCAGGAGCCTGGCCTCTGTTCCTGCAGCCTGGGCTCAGCAGCAGGCGAGGGCAGGGGCAGAGGCTACAAACCTGTCCCTCCTTCCTGTGGTGCCCTCCTGCAGGAGGAGGACAGCGACCCCATCCCTGACCCATCGATGGGGTGCTGGAACCAGCTCCGGCCCCCAGGCATCAGGGCACAGGTGACTTTGGCCAGGCTGCTCTCCTGGGCTCCACTCCATCACCTGAGCACCTCTGTGAAAATCCGGCATCGAGGGGTTTCTGCTTCCTGCACGGAAGAAGGCTCAGGGCATTGGCATGAGTCAACCCAGAGCAAGTCATCATTCATGAGGAAGTCAAGCCAGTAACCCTGCTAGAGTCCACTCCTTGTGCTGCAGAGAGCACACAGGAAACACGCTTTATAAAGAAAACCATTCTGTCTGATCCTACAATAGCCCGAACCTCACACGGGTTCAACAGGAACTGCCCTGCAGTTAAAAGCAGCAACTCCTGCACAAATTAATCAACTTGTTGGCAAAAAGCCTTCATTAAAACCCTGCCCAGCTCCTCCCTTTCAGAGACATGGTCCCCAGAGATGGTTACACAGGAGCTGCAGGCAGCGGATGGAGCTCAGGTGGGAAGGCTCAGGGGAGCATCTGCGACCCTCCTGCTAAGGCCAGGGGAGTCACATTCACTCATGCAGGTGAAGCCACATGTGGACCTTTGCTTCATGCTGCATCCATAGGGACAGCAGCACAAAGAGCCTCCTGCTGCCCATGGGCATCAGGACCAGCCCGGCAGCCCTAGTGCAGGGAAGAGACACAGCCCTGACACAAGGGACAGGTGTCAGGATCCCACCATGCTCCCAGTCCAGGGCACAGATGGCACCAGGAGAAGCAAGAGAGCATCCCAAAACTGACTGGAGAGCTGGAGATTTGGGGTGTAGGGACTGCACTCCAGAAAGTCAAGGTATTAAGCTCCATCTCCATCATCATTGCTGGACATTCCAGCCTGGTTTGTGTTGGAAGGGACCTTAAAGCTCCTCCAGCTCCACCCCCTGCCACAGGCAGGGACCCCTTCCACTGGAGCAGCTTGCTCCAAGCCCCTGTGTCCAACCTGGCCTTGAGCACTGCCAGGGATGGGGCAGCCACAGCTTCTCTGGGCACCCTGTGCCAGCGCCTCAGCACCCTCACAGGGAAGAGCTTCTGCCTAAGAGCTCAGCTCAGTCTCCCCTCGGGCAGGTTGAAGCCATTCCCCTTGGCCTGGCCCTACAGGCCCTTGTCCCAAGCCCCTCTCCAGGTTTCCTGCAGCCCCTTTAGGCACTGGAGCTGCTCTCAGGTCTCCCCTTCAGGAGCCTTCTCTTCTCCAGGCTGTTCAACTGCAAGAGAATTAGGACAAACTTTAGAGCCTGACCCACTGACAAGAGGACCCCCGCAGCAAGGGCTTCCCCAGCCCCTGCCCAAGGTCCATGCTCAGTGAGCACAGGTGGGTTGTAGCTGCAGTTTAAGCACCTCCATCTGAGCTGAAAACCCAAGCAAGTAAATAAACACCATCCTGGGAAAGCTGGGAACTCCATTTTGATATTCTTTCCTAAAGCTCTCAAGAAACAAGCTTCCAGGCTCTTCACCCAGAGCTGTCTCCTCCTCATGGAAGCAGCCAGTGCTGCGGATGGGGCTGCTCTGCAGGGCCTGGCCCCCTGCACACTCCTCTGTACCCCAAGATCCAGCACAGCCTCTGCTCCTGCACGGATCCAACAGGCCCCAAGCAGTCTGGTGGCACCATGGAGGGACAGGCACCCCCCTGCTGCCCACGGGCACAGCACAGCCCACCTTGCCTCCAGCTCCCCATGGGCTCAGACACCCTCTGTCCAGAGCACAGCCTCCAGGGGAGCTGCTAAGCCCTGCGGCTGATTCACATCTCCTTGGGCAGCTGCAGCTCACATAACCAGAGCCCATTCCTGGGCATCTGCACAGCCCCTCTGCAGTCAGAAATAGCAGTGGATGGCCCATGGCACCGGGCCTGGAATGGGTCTGGGGCAGGGAGCGGAGGCACAGAGGGGTAGCAGAGGGCAGAGACAGCCCCATAGCACAGACCCGTGCCTCCAAACGCAGCCCCAGCAGTCCCAAGGCAAAGGGACGAGTGCTTTCGGGATCAGGCAGAGCAGTGGGATGTCACCAGTGGCGAGCTCAGACACCCAAGCACGCAGTGCAGGCTGTTTCAGACTTGTTCTCCTGCTTTGCATTAGTATGCAGAGACACTGACTCCCAGTGTTTGGAGGAAGACTGAGAAGCAGTAATTAAATTGGACGCTTGGTGTGAGTTGACTGAACCATCCAGAAACCAGGCCAAGAAACATCTCAAGCATCCATCTTCGGGCTGAAACACCCCACGTGAGCAGGAAGGTGTTTTTACAACCTGAGCTACCACAGCAAATACCACTGTGTGAAGCCAGACACCGCTTGTGCCCCTGGTAGAGCAGAAGAGAAGAGGTAAAGGGAAAAAGCAGAGGGATTTATGTTGCTTCATAAACTGCTGGCAAGCAGCACTGGCTACATGCACATACAGAGCCCTGAACAACTTTGGAGGTGAAGTCATAACCCGGTGTTCCAAATTTTACGTTAGAGCTTACTATATATAGCAAGTATGCAACAGGCTTTGGTTTTACTGTACATAGTAGCTTTTGGTGATGAAAGGCTAAAGGAACTGATACTGAGGCTCTATTAAGCTAAGAGCAGCAAAATCAAAACCTTCTAATGGTTCTGTTACAGGTTACAGTTCCACAGCTTGAGGATAGATGGGATAAAGAAAGGGAGGAGGAATAAAAGATCTTGCAGGCTGCAAAACCAAATGCATGCACAGACTGCAGGCTTGATCCATGCAGAGATGTGCACGAGAATCCACAAGCAGATTTGCCAGAAGGTTTCAGTGCATGACAGGGCTGTGGGCAGGGGGATCTGGTGAGGAGCCATGCAGGGAGCACAGAGCACAGCCCTGCAGTGCTGCAGGGTTTGCTCGGCCTGCTGAGTGCCCCATCCCTGCTGGACCAGCACCCTCACCAGCGTGCAGCACCGGCAGCGTGCGGCTCTCAGCATCACACATGAGCACAGGCTACAAGCGGCAGCAGAGGATGCTCAGTGGCATTCTGGTCCTGGCACTGCTCTAAGCAGGAGTCATTCTGAGCTCCAGGCCGCTGGTCTGCCTGCTGCCCCTGCACTGGCCTTGTTTTACCCATCAGTGACAGGGCCATAATTAAAGTATTTTCTGTGCAAAAAACTATAAGGACAAAATATTAAACCCATAACATGATCACACCAGCTCCAGCTGCTTCCACGTGTGTGCATCCATGAATTAACTGCATTGTTTGTATGTTTGTCTACTAACTGCTCTCTTGGTCTGGCTCTGTGCTAACAGTAACAAGCCCTGGTGCTGCCAGCAAAGGCACAGCACCTTGGATTTTACAGCAGCAATGTGCAATGTTACCAGTCTGACGTCTGCTCTGAGAAACCACGTTAACAGGTACGAGGCTGGACATGCAGCCCAAGTGACACGGCGCTCCTGGGACCTGGGAACTGCAAGCCTTAGTGAAAACTGAAGCTGTATCCTTCAGGAAAAAACAGCTGATGAGCAACTGAAGGGAACATATCAGTTCTGCTGAGGGAAATTCAAGGAAAGCGATGAAATTCAATCCTCCTGAATGGAGAGAATGAGGTATAGGGCAGGTCTCTGAAATAATGAGTTGATGTGTAAGTGATGTACTGAACACTGGACACCCTGGTCTCACTGGGAACCCATGTACATGCGGCACATGCAGCACAGAAGTTGTTTTGTTCTGCTGCTCTAGTTTTGAGCAACTGCAGTTGTTCCTCCAGACTGGTGGCAGCTTCCCTCAGACACTCATAAAGCAGAACATCACCTGTGGAAAGCCAGCTGAAGGAGGCCACTGCAATGGTGACGTGTTAAATGTACATATATACTCATATGGACAGCAGAGGTTTGGCTGAAGAGTACGGAGGAAAGGAAGGGTCTGGTCTAGTGCAGGCCATCCCAGCAGTTTCTTCTTGTCATTCTCAACATGTTCTTCTTTCCCCCGGTTTACAGACCTGCTTTGCCCCTTCTCTGCACCAACAGCTCAGATACCCACCGTGCCTGCACTAACCCAGGTCTCCTCCTTCTTGAGGCCCTGCCCTACAGCCTTCCACCCTGCATCTCGTGCCCAGGTCTCACCATCAGCACCACATCTGCACTGGTCCTACTGGTAAGAACAGGCAGTGTTTTCCTTAGGCTAACATGTGACCAGGCAAACACCCTCCCATTTCAGCTTACGGTCTGGACTCTGGGCTCCTCTTGGCCACACGCTTTCCTACTCCACATGGACTGACTGGCACGGCCAATCTGACTGCCGAGCACGAGCTGCTGCTCCCCCCTGCCCTCTGCAGAGGCCACCAGATGTGGCACACCAGCCCAGCAGAGCCGTCAGTAACAGCGACAGCATCCTCTCTGCTTCCCAAACTGCACGTACACACAGCCAAGACAGTTCAGAAGGATGAGGCTCTGCTGCTCCTTTAAATAGAGCACTGTCCGTAAAGGAGCGATGGATTTTGACCATGATTCTCCCACTGGCAAGGACAGCACATTCTGGGCATCAGGTTTATTTATACTCCAGATCTAGCTAGTAGGAATTTGGGTGCAATCCAAATGCTCTTGATATAATGAAGTCTTTACCCAGAGTTAAGCTGCCTTCGAAGGGCCAAGATTAAGGATGAAGCTTAATGCTGGTGCCGCAGTTACATTTTTACTCGCTTGAATGTCCAGCTTTCCAGACACCTTGAGCACACAGGATGAATATACCACACTTACACCCAGACTTGCTGAGTTGGAGCAGTAACTCGAGCAAGCCAAGTCCTTCATTACACTCAAGCAAGTGGTGAAGTCCCATGAAAGAGGGTACAAAAAAAGTCCTCTTTCCGTCCAGGATTACATGAGCACTGATGATCACAGTCCCACTGCTTAGATAAAGAACAGCCTACACAGGAGCAGTGCTGGCTTGGGTACACACAGCCCTTCAAACATGAAAAGGAGCAGAAAGATTTGGGGGACAACATAACGAACCCCCTGTATAAAACAAGACCTCTGAGAACAAGACTCCTAATGATTACTTATGGTTTTCAGAAAGGAGTTAATCCCTCCGCTTTTTTCAGCAGTATCACAGATGAGGTCTTGTCCAGATAGTGATGGCTGGAAGGTTGTGGAATGCTTCCAGATCCCATTCGAGCTGCTGGATTTTCCACATGGACTTCAAGAGCACTGCAGTAGAGGCAGCACCACCTGGAACTCCAGATGTGCTTCTGTTCCCGCTCACACCACATCCTGTGTGTTTAGGTACCAAGTTTTCACCCTGGGCAAAGTTTTGACTGTTTGATGAGAGGGAGCCCCAGCCCCCTCCATGCTTGCAGCACACGTGGAGGCACTCACAAAGAACCAGCTCCCACGTCTGCCTCTCCTTAAACAAAGAGGTGAAGCCCAAAGGGGTTTAATTTGATGATCCAGGCTGTTCCCCAGCAACACACAGACACTTCAGGCACAAAACCCCAAGTGCTGGGAGAACACTGAATAACGGTTCCTCAGTAGGGCTGGGTTCTGGTATGACCATTCTGGAGAGCCATAAAATGCCTTCATAAGAAATACATATCATAGACTCACAGCCACTGCTTGTGGTGGAAGGGACCTTAAAGCTGCTCCAGCTCCAACCCCTGCCACGGGCAGGGACCCCTTCCACTGGAGCAGCTTGCTCCAAGCCCCTGTGTCCAACCTGGCCTTGAGCACTGCCAGGGATGGGGCAGCCACAGCTTCTCTGGGCACCCTGTGCCAGCGCCTCAGCACCCTCACAGGGAAGAACTTGTGCCTTATCTCCAACCTGAACTTCCCCTGTTTCAGTTTAAACCCATTACCCCTTCATACATATGGTCATATTGGAGGGTCAGATAAACTGCAGGGCCTCCAAGGGCCTCAACTGCTGTGGGTAATTGCTGGGCACCAGTACCAAGGGATGATAAATATAATCTCAGCTCCAGGAAGAGCTTTAGTTCTTTGAACCAAAAGCTATTTCCCAGAAATGTAAAGTCCAGCAGCTCTTTGCCCTCCAGACACACAGGATTAGTTCTGACCCATACAAAACACCCTCAATACCTGCCACATCCAGCTGTAAATGGCACTGATACATCACTATGGCTCTATTAGCTCCCTGATGCTTGCTTCCTCGCGTGCCCACTTCTTTGTACACCCTCTGGGTTCCAGCTCCCATGGTCCCCTCAAAGGTTCTGAACTAAAGCTCTTAACCCCTCCGAAACCACCAGCACCAATCAAGAGCCAGGCATTTAATAACTGTCAGCCTCGGGATTTATGGAAAAGTGAGCGCAAACAAACAGTGCAATGTAGATTAAAACACGCAAGGAGGTTTTCCATGGGGAGCATTAGCTCCGGAGCACTCACCTGATACTGGAGGCAAAGTTATGTCTCAAACTGTGTTAAGAGATCTCTGATTTCTGGAGTCAGATGCTCCACTGCCTTGGCAGCCTCTGTGATAGCTTTCCGATACATCCCTTTCTTCTTGCGGTTAAACCTCAGTTTGAAAAACTCAGAGAAAGGAGAGAGTTTGGAGACAGACAAGAACGAAGTCGTTGGAGACCCAAACCAGGACACTTTAGCTTCTCGCCATGAGGGCTCCCCGTTCTCCTTCTGACTGAGGTTTATGTCAAGAACACGCGCTGGCCACCACGGAAACCCATGAATCTTTCCCCAAACTATATCCCCCACTGAAACAGTTCTTCCGTCCTCTGTGACGCACCTGGACACGCTCTGGGTGTGCAGCCGGACCGTCAGCGGCGGCACCATTTTACGCTCATCTTTTGAAGACGAGGAGACGGATGCATCATCCCCAGGCAGAAAGTCACACATCTCTGGCGATGTTACCTCTGAACTGGAAGACTTGGACTCGTCCAGACTGTCGTTACTACACACCGATAAGCTAGAAGAGTCTGCTTTTCTTTTACGATAATTCATAAGGAAAGCCAAGTTATCGTGTCCATCTTTACCTTGGGGAAACCTTTTAAAGTCCTCATCTTCACCTGAACTCCCTGAAGACACCTCAGCTAAACTTCTGTCTGTGGACTCGTCATTGTAGAAGGCGCCGGGGTTGGACTCCCTGCTGTTCTGAAGGACATTGATTTCATCAATCAGTTCTGCCTTGTAGATTGAAACACTCTGACCGTCACTGATGCGATGGGGCTTGAGCCGGATCTTTGGGGGCGGGACATCCGCGCTGGAATGCACTGGCCGTGTGAGCTTCAGCTTTGGAATGGAAGCAAGCTGGCTGCCTGCTGACTTGTCCAGGAAACATTTGGTTTCTCGACACCGTTCGGGGTCCCTGGTCTCCTCTTGGTCCTCCCCTCCGTTCTGCACGGTCAGCTCTGCACAAAAGGGTTTCACCGAGCCGTGCACCCGGGAAGGGATTTTGACGACCTCGCCCTTCCCCTGTGGAGTGCTGTAGGATATTTTGATGACGGGCGTTCGATGCACTAGCTCCCCAGAGAACTTGTCATCCTCTCTCTTCTCCCTTTTGTTCCTTTTCTCCATGTAGTCAGCGTCGCCGTGCTTCTTCTGCTCCTTGTCCTGGATGCTCAGCTTCCTCCTGGTTTTGACGTTCTGCCTGCTGGCACTGGCGTCCTCCGGGTTCAGGGTGTTCTTGCACTTCTCGCACAGGACCTGCCGCGGCCGCAGCCTGATGGTGCTCATGATGAGCCTGCCCGGGTCCCTGTTCCGCGACAGCCGCCGCCTCGTCCTCTTGATGGTGCGCGGCGGCGGCTGCGGGACCCACTGGTGGTACGTGTGCCGCAGCCACAGCGGCCGTGGGAACGGGGCGCCCTCGAAGTACGGGGGGTACGGGGGGAGGCTGGGCGGGGGCAGCAGCGGCGGCACTTGCTCATCACCGGCTCCTGGGGGCGGCTTCTCTGCAGCGGGCAGCGGCTCCGGCACCCCCGGCACCGCAGCTCCAGCAGCGACCCCGTTAGAGCAGGCGTCCGCAGGAGGGTCCTCGGGCTTGGGGAGAGAGGACGGGAGGCAGAACAAGCCAGACCTGGAGTGGGTGAGGAGGACAGGGAGGGAAAGAGACACGGAGTCAGATGTTTGAAAGGTGCTTCTCTGGGAGCACTGTGCACAGCAAACATGCTGCCATCAAACCAACCCATCAACCCTCCCCCAGCTGCAGCATACTGGGAACACACACTTCACAGAACCCCAGCCTGCATGGGGTTGGAAGGGAGCTTAAATCCCACCCAGCTCAAACCCCTGACACGGGCAGGGACCCCTTCCACTGGAGCAGCTTGCTCCAAGCCCCTGTGTCCAACCTGGCCTTGAGCACTGCCAGGGATGGGGCAGCCACAGCTTCTCTGGGCACCCTGTGCCAGCGCCTCAGCACCCTCACAGGGAAGAGCTTCTGCCTAAGAGCTCAGCTCAGTCTCCCCTCGGGCAGGTTCAAGCCATTCCCCTTGGCCTGTCCTTGCTATTTCCCTTGACATCTAAGACAAGGCAGCAGATTCTGCCACCGATAAACTCACAGCATTTCCAATTGAGGAAAGGGCTCTGCTCTCCTGCCCGAAGTGTGGAGATCAAAATCTCTGCTTCCGTGAGCACCCTGCACACAGTTCTGCTCTAAGTCTATTTTGCCAGCGGGCTGGTGAAGCAGGAGGAGCGCTGTGATGCAGACCATGCAAACCTTCTGGGCGCTATGAAACTGCCCTCCCTACCTGTGCCTGCACGGCTGATTCTCCAGCTTCTCATTTGACCCCTGAACATCTCAGCTCAGGTGGGTAACCTGCACTTTGGGGTCCACAGTGCTGCTCCTCTGCCCTGGCCTCGCCACACAGCACCCGATTTGTTAACATAAGGGATACACACTGCTGCCTCAGACAGCAGGACTAAGGATGAGGTGCTACTATCCAGCACCAAGGCTCATCACAGCCTGGCCAGGCCTGGGTACAGTGTCTTGCACAGACACTGCCAACAGCAAACCCTTTGAAACTCAGAGCTGTGGCTCGTGTCTCTGGGGTTCTGCACCAGAATTTACACCCTTGGCCTGACACCAGGGACACTGTGCTCACGCAGCACTTGGACAAGTATCTGCCCTGGAACACTGACTCAGGACAGCAGTGCTTGGCTGCCCTGCGAGCTCTGCACAGAGCACGGCCAGGGAGGTGTCTCAGCACTTATAGTAACAAAAACCACAGTATGGGTGAGCCCCCAAGAAGGCACAGAGATGGAGAACAGGCACAGACCCAACACGCGTCTCCATTTCGGATACTTCATTCCCACTGCCCTCCTCCCAGGACATCACTTTCTTTCCAGCCCTTAGGAAGGGCCTTTCCTCCAGCAAGGGAGGGGTTTCTTGCTGCTGTTGCAGAGAGGACTCCGGCAGCCATTTAAGCAGAAGGGTGCTGAAGAGGAGCTGAAGGCTTCCCCTCACTCACACATCCCCTCACCAAGAGAAGCACAAGTCACTGCTGCAGGTTTGCGGATGGAGAGGAGGAGGATGGAGAGGAGCCTCCTCCCTCCACACCAGCACCCAGTGCCCAGCTCTGCCTCAGGCTGCGCTGCTTTCTGGTGGGAAGGACCCTAAAAATCCCAGTATCCCAGACTGAGGTTTGTGTCTGAAAGGACCTTAAAGCTCCTCCAGCTCCAACCCCTGTCACGGGCAGGGACCCCTTCCACTGGAGCAGCTTGCTCCAAGCCCCTGTGTCCAACCTGGCCAGGCACAGGCAAGGAGGTGCCTCCACCCCAGCAGCATCCATGCGAGACCAGACACAAACCAGAGCAGGGCTTTTTAAGCAGATAACAGGAGAATGGGGATCATGGATCCCACTCACTGTGGCTCTGATCTCCAGCTTCACCCTCTTTGTCTCAGTCCAACACAGACTGCATCTCTTTCACCTCATCTCCATGAAGACACCCACCAAGTTTAAAAATACATCTCCACAAACCAAGCAAGCAGCACTGAGCCTGATGCTGGTACCAAATAAAACCCACCACAGTTACCTGCGCTCTGCAAAGCCCTGCGCCATCATTCAGAGAGCAAGAGCGCAGGACCTGCTGCTCAGGTGCCAGGTCACTTGAAACGGGAAGCTCCAAGTTTGAGCGGAGAGGATTAAACTGCTGAAACCACAGAATTTGGAACAAAACTGTTTTGTTCCAAGAGGGTTTTTTAGAGACAACCGAGAGTGTAGGTGTCTTTCAGATGACAATCAATGAAGCAAGCACAGTTTGTACAGCCAGAGATGTCAGCATCATTCATAAAACAACTGAAAGTGGTGTCATTTCCGAAGCTCTGGGTATGAATTCTGGTTACTTTATGGATTTGGCCACACCAGGATTCATTTTTGGCAGCAGCAGCTTCCTCAGGACCAGGCAGAGGCTCTGTCCTGGAAGACCATGGCTACAGAGGGACAAGGATCTCCACAAATCCTGCTCATCCCGTTGGAGCAGCAGGACTGCTCACACTGGTGGCCCAGCACTGCATCCTGCATCCCACTGCAGCATCCATCAGGAGACTGCCATGGCACAGGTGCTGGGATGGGGGACATGCAGCCAGGTGTGCTGACCACGCAGCCCAACCCTGCCCTCTGTGGCTTGGGACCCCCCACAGTGGGAGCTCGCAGCTCCTTCCTCACTCCCTCAGGACCCCCAGCAGCACTGCAGCCACGCTGGGCGCTCCTACAGGCACAGACAGAGCAGGCAGGGGAAGCTACACCCCTGCAGCTCCTGCGCCAGGTACCACGCGGGTGCCCCAGCACACCACACATGGCCATGGGTTCCCTGCTGTGCTGGGATGTTGATGGGTGCACATGGGTGATGGACACTTGCTGCCAGGGACTCTCTAGGTCTTTCCCTTCCTACTGGAAGAGCCTCCGAAGGCTAGGAAAGCAGTTCTGCTGAGCCATCATCCTGTTTCCAGCCTGCCTGCCTACCTACCAGGCCACTTCTGCACAGAGGTGAGGGGAGTTCTGCCTTCCCTCTCGCCTCCCCACCAGCCCGGTGCACCCCGGCCCTGTTCTCAGGCGCAGGTGGAAGAACAAGAGCTCCAGGGAAGTCACCACAGATACCTCTTCTCTTGTCCCTGCAGCACTCACAGCACCCTGCGAACAAGCACCACCACCCATGGCTGCTTTTGGTTCCTCTCTCCCTCCTCATTACCTGCTCCTGGTGGGGATGCACTAAAATGCTCCTGAGCAGCAGCTCCTGGTAAAAGGATTGAGCTCTGGAGCCTTCCCACCCCCTGCGGAGCATGAAACACTTCAGCTGACACCCACACCTCCAGGAGCAGCACAGGGAGAAGCATCAGCTCCACATCACCTCCAGGAGCAGCACAGGGAGAAGCATCAGCTCCACATCACCTCCAGGAGCAGCACAACAGCGGCTTCACCAGCCTCCCTACACCCCCCAGATGTTTCTGCACATCTGGATGCAGTTCATGTGTTTCTTCCACTTGCTGTCACTATTGATTGTGCAGACCTAAACCCATCCAGCTAAGATGAAGGTGCTTGAGCTGGCGGATCAGAGGCACTGCTGCATGTGCAGATACGACAAGCAGGAAATAATGCGGGATGAGATTTCACCCTCTTTGTACACCTCTTTCTGGGGCAGCCATAGCCAAATGGACAAAGTTACCTGAACCTAAGCTCTGTCTGGAGCAGAAGACACCACCTCGGATTTGTACTCACCTATAGTTAAAAACCAGCTAATTTAAGTTGCAACAAAATTGCCACATCTTGTTACCAAAACCACTGTAACTGCGGCCAAAATGCATTTAAATCTCCCGCTGAGCAGAAGTGCTGTGCAGCTCTGGAGGAACAGGAGAGGGCTGCAGGCAGCAGGAGCAGGGCGACAGGATGACAGCATCAGACAGCTTGGAAAAGAGCTTCAAGCTCCTCCAGTCCAACCGTTCCCAGCACTGCCCAGGCCACCCCTAACCCATGGCACTGAGGCCTCGTCTCCACGGGGTGTGAACCCTTGCAGGGCCGGTGCCTGCAGCCCTGCCCTGGGCAGCCTGTTCCAATGCCTGAGCACCCTCTGGGGCAGGAATTGTTCCTCAGCTCCATCTAAACCTGCCCTGGTGCAGCTTGAGGCCGGTTCCTCTTGTCCCATCCCTTGTTCCTTGGGAGCAGAGCCCAGCCCCTCCTGGCTCCATCCTCCTGGCAGGCAGTTGGAGGCAGCCATCAGGTCCCCCCTGAGCCTTCTCTTCTCCACACTGAGCCCCCCAGGTCCCTCAGCCCTTCCCCATCACCCCTGTGCTCCAGGCCCTGCACCAGCTCCATTGCCCTTCTCTGGCCCTGCTCCAGCCCCTCAATGTCTCTCTTACAGTGAGGGGCCCAGATCTGAGCACAGGATTCGAGGTGCAGCCTCACCAGTGCCCAGTGCAGGGGCACAATCCCTGCCCTGGCCCTGCTGCCGCACTGGTGCTGGTACAGGCCAGGATCCTGGTGGCTTCTTGGCTGCCTGGGCACAAGTTGCTCATGTGCAGCCAACCAACACCCCCAGGTCCTTTCCCACCAGGCAGCTTCCAGCCACTCTGCCCTGAGCCTGCATTAATGGTAAAACCAGCTTACAACACACAATAAAGACAGAGAGACACCATACAGCCCCCCACTGCCCTCTCTTTTGGGGTTCTCCCCTCTTTTTGGACTGGTAAAACAACACGTTCTGGTTGCTCCTCTCCTGCCAGTCCCACACAGCCCCAGCTCTCCAGTGAGACAGCACTACCACATGGCACTGACTGCTGCCTGCCAGGTACAGGCAGAGCACATAGGGCACAGGCCATTGAGGGTCACAGCTCTATCAGCAGGACGATAGGGAGGAGGAGGGAAAATATCTCTGCCAAACCTCTTTTCTGAACTAGTTTTGGGGCCTTCAAAGTTCAGCACCAAGCTGACAAATTCCTACTGCCTTTGGGACACAGCTCCACCTTTACCCAAGAACCATGAGCAGACAGACTCCTGCATCCTGCTGTTCATGGGATGAGATTCCTTCTCCCTCCACATGCCAAATGCGGGGCTGCAGAAGGGGAGAAGGTGGCTTTCAGCTCACCCACACTCACTATGCTCGCAGCAGCCAGACCTCACCGCACACACGGTACCTGTTGACAGCCACAAGCAGAGGCCACAGCTCTGCAGCCACGTGTTGGCCACCACATGTCACAGGCTCACGGGGGGATGTGACCCCAGCAGCTGGTCTGCAGAACACCCAGAGAGGGGAGAGGCTCCCCCAGTCTGCAAGAGGCTCGTGGAAGCAGAACTGTCCCCTTGCTGGGGCTCTGAAGAGCAGGATGTGCCGAGGAGAGGATTAAAACACAGCCCTGAGGAGCCTGTTCCATGGGGGCACCCTGAGTGGAGGCTGCTCCCCTGTCCCCCTGCGGTGCTGCTGTACCGATGGGCTGTGGAACACCACACAAAGGTGTCAGCTGCTGTTAGGGTGACAAGAGGGAGCAGCATCAATCCCACCCCTGCGTGACCTTGGGGCTCACCTCTGCCACAGACGAATCTGACCAGTACAGACCAGTTACTGGGGCAGGAGGGAGGCGATGGGGCAGCTCTCCTGCCCCTGAGGAAAACCGCATCAACATCTGCCCACCCTGACCCACTACATGTCTGTGGGGAGGATGCTGCTGCAGCATCCCCACTGTGGGTCCAGGCAGCCTCCAGCTTGAGCTGCAGGTCCCCTGGTTGATGGGATGACAGCAGAACAAGAACCAAACCTCAGAGACAATCCCACTGTCCCGACATGGCAGCCATGGGCCATCTCCTGTCCCAGCAGAGACCAGTAATCCAGGGCTCCAGAAGCATCTTAAAGCCTGGCAGGAAATACCCATTGGGTCATTCCTGGGATCCGCAGGGGGAAGAAAGAAGGAAAAAGAAACCATGGAGAAAGGTTAGGGAGGAAGAAGATGAGGTATGAGAAGCGCACGCTGGCAGCAGGGGGGCAGACAACCGGAATGTTGGAAGGCAGAAGCAGTTGGAACGGGCCGAGGAGATGCCTCGTGCCGCCGCGCTGGCTGGAACTGGACACCAGGCCGGGTTTAGAGGCTCTAACGGAGCTCAATGCCTGAGCGCTGCTGAGGATCTGGCTCCAGTTTTCGGGAGGCGGCACGTGAAGCTGCCCAAGCCCTGTACACGAGGAAGGGCAGCCCTGCTTCGCGCTGCTGCTCAGGGGAGGCACAGAGCCACGCTGGAGGGACCCCATCAGCACCGAGCCGGCAACGCGGCCCCCGAGCAGACAGGAACCAAGCCCTGAGCCTCGGCACGGCCCGGAGCAGAGCCCCCGGTCCGGTGTCAGTCCTGGGGCGGCTGCACCTACCAGCGAGGTGCGTTAGAGGTCGAGCGTTCCGAGATGAAGCGTTCACGTGTGAGTGCCCCCCGTCCTTCCGAAGGACGGGCCCTCCCGGGGGACCTCGGCACCGGCCATGGCACCAGCCGGGGCTGCTGCAGTCACTGCAGGACGAGAAACGGGGCCAAGAGACCCCCAGACCCCCGGGGACTGCGGCCACGGCAGCGGCGCAGTGACCTGGCCGGCAGCGCCAGCCCCAGCGCGGTGACCAGGCCGCAGGGACCCCGGGACGGACCCGCGGGGCCGCTCAGGGCTCCGGAGACGGCGGGGCCAGTGCGGGCCGGGCCGCAGCCTCCTCCCAAGGGCGCGGGGCCGCCGCGGCACAAGGTCGGCGGGGGCCCGCAGCGAGGGGACGGGGCGGCCGCGGGTCCTGGCCCTGGCGGGCAGCGGGGACACGGACACGGTCTCCCGGCCCCTGCCGGCCCAGCGGCCACGCCGGGCTCCAGGCTCGCAGCGCCCCAGCTCCGCCGGCAGCGGGACAGCCCCGGCAGCCGCACCGGCCCCGCTCACCCCGGGGCGCTTTGTTCCCGCCCGGGCGCACAAAGGGCGAAGCACGGGGGCTCCGCTCCGGTCCGCCCCGGTGCCGCCGCGCTCCCGCCGCCCCCCGCTCCCGGTGCGTACTTCTTGGTGCAGTCGATGAGGACGCCGGTGAAGCGGCGCTCGCCGAGGCTCAGCGTCACCACCAGGGTGTCGTTCACCACCTGCTCCACCACCACCGGCACGCTCGCTCCCGCCCGCGGCACCTCGGCCATGCCGCCGCTGCCCCCCCCGCCGCGGGGTCCGCCGGGGCCGCGCCGCGCCGCGCCGCGCGATGACCTCACGGAGCGCCCGCCACCGCCGCCGTGCGTGCGTGCGTGACGTCAGAGCACCGCCCCCGCGCGCCGCGGGCAGGCCCCTACCCCCCGCGCCGCCGGGAGGGGCCACGAGCACGTGTGCGGGAGGGGCGGGGCTAAACCGTGGAGGCAGTGCGCCCCCTGGCGGCCGCGCAGCAGCCATGCACCGGCCTGGTGGGTGGGGCGGGGTCAGAGGGGGTGGAGCAAACAGGCCACGCCCCCTTCCGCGGACCCGTCACGGGGCCCGGAGCGCGGCGGGGGGGGCGGAGGGGTCCAGGTGCGGGCAGCGCGCACCGAGCACAGGGAGCAGCCCATGGACCCGCCCGGACCTCAAAGCTCCTCCAGCTCCAACCCCTGCCATGGGCAGGGACCCCTTCCACTGGAGCAGCTTGCTCCAAGCCCCTGTGTCCAACCTGGCCTTGAGCACTGCCAGGGATGGGGCAGCGAGAGCTGTGTAGCCCCTGCGGACCGTTTCCACTTTGGATTTCAGAGCTGTGAAGACCAAACCCATGTGAAACAACAGCCAGATCTCTTAAATGTAACTTTTAGAGAGAAAAAAGGTAGAGAAAATCCTTCCCTTAACCTTGCCTTTGCTGATCACTTGCACAGTGCAGCAAGTGCTGGCCCTGTGTCCCTCAGGGTCTATGCAGAGGCAGCATTGCTGTGCTGGATCATCTCTCATCTCCTGGTGTCTGAAAGGTGACTTTTTGGTAGATCGCATCCACTTCACTTTGATAAGCAGCTCATCCGATAATGTGACCTTAAAGCAGCTCCAGTGCCTAAAGGGGCTGAGGGGCTTTGGACAAGGGCCTGTAGGGACAGGCCAAGGGGAATGGCTTGAACCTGCCCGAGGGGAGACTGAGCTGAGCTCTTAGGCAGAAGCTCTTCCCTGTGAGGGTGCTGAGGCGCTGGCACAGGGTGCCCAGAGAAGCTGTGGCTGCCCCATCCCTGGCAGTGCTCAAGGCCAGGTTGGACACAGGGGCTTGGAGCAAGCTGCTCCAGTGGAAGGGGTCCCTGCCTGTGGCAGGGGTTGGAGCTGGAGGGGCTTTAAGGTCCCTTCAACCCAAACCAGGCTGGGGTTCTGTGGTTTTCACTGTTCTCTTACAGAAGGATCCCGTTGTTACCTGGGGGCTGAACAGGCTCAGGTATGCTGGATTTGTACAGAATTAATGAAGTATCTTTGCTGTCAGCTAAAGCTGAATTCTCACTGCACACAAAGACAGAGACGCACACATAAACCATTGAAGCCTAATGAAGGTTTCAGGCACAGGCTTCCCAAAAAAGGCCAATAGATGAACAGCACAATGTGTTATTTTCTCTATTGCTCTAAACGGCAAAATAAGAACAGAAATCCTCCCCACTTTGGTATTATTTATTATGGAATCTTTCCAATGTTGCAGCATCTGGAGGACAGGACAGGCTGTAGCCCTGAGGCAGCCTTGACTTGCTGCAGACCCTTGCAAACATGCTGAGAACAACACGAAGGCATAGAGAGTTCCAGGGTCACCAGGACAGGGAATTCTGTGCTGATTATCAAAAGGAAAGGGATTTTTTGAAGCATCCTCCACATGGTGATACAGAAAACCTGCCTCCGAATCCATTCTACAGTGACTAAGGCAGTTTCCATCGTTGCAGCACCCATTAAATCCAATGATGCTGAACATACCTTGGGCCAGGCACAGCCCAAGCATGGCAGGGGACAACAGAGAGAGCAGGGACAGAGGGGAACACAGCATTAAGGAGGGAGGAAGAGCTCTGTCTGGTACTGGTGAAGCTCAGCACAGTGACCCCTTCCCGGGACTCTGCAGTACCAAAGGTCACTAAGCACGGGTTCAGCTCCTGTAAGGTGGTTGCATCTGAAGAGTAGCTCTAAAGCCGGTTATGATTCAACATTAAACACAGCACTCATGATGAAATCCAGGCTTGGACTGGGACATCCAGTGCAAGGCCGGAGCTGTGTTACTCATGACATGAGCTAGCTGAGAGTACACAGTTCCTCATATCAGCACAGTTACAAACCTTGGGGGTGACTTCGGCATCTTGTTTTCCCAGGATTTGTGTCTCCTGTAGAAGAACGTGCAGAGAGGCAGAGGAGACTGCACCCCACCTACCACACATCTGCTGCACTACTGATGAGAGCACATGGACTGTCAGTGCGGTTTAACATTGTCAAGGTCAAGGGAAGACTGAGGGATAAGGGAGCAACCACTGCAGGCTTTCAGCATTCCAGGCAATGAGAACGTGTGACTGGGGAAACTCTTTGGAATTTGCACTTGGTGAGTCAGGATAATCTCCTGGGAAGGCAGGGAGACAACTCCCAAACTCCTCCTGTTGGGTTTGCTGCCTTGGTTTGTGGATCTTCACCTTGGATTTAGGCAAAGCAAAACCCAGAGGATGGATTTGGATATGTTGTACACATATAAGAGTGTATAACAACGAGCAGAAATCAGTGCATATGTCTGAAGTTGCACAGGTTGGTTTGTAGGAAAACAGAAGCTACTGATGATAAAAGAGCTGGAAGCATTAAAGCTCAACAGATTCTGAAAGCAGTAAACAGTCAGTACATGTATTACTAAACTTATCACTACTAAATATATCTGTGAATACTCTCAGCTCCATATTGGTGTGTACATGTACTTTTCACTGCATTTAGTCATGTTCATTCACTCAGAAGTTTCCCAAAACTCTAACAAACTTGATGGAAACTCCATAAAGCTCTTACAAGCCCTCATGACAATATTCTGCTTTATAGAAATGCAACCAGAGATTTTAAACCATCATTTCCTTTGCCATGCAGTGGCTTGTGTGTGCTCTGGGGTACAAACGGTCCCTTTCAAAGGCTGGAGATCCCTCCGCTCTAGTGATTGAACCCAGACCCCAGTTCCGCAGCTGCCGCCCATTGACGGATGCTTTTCGGGCGGTAAGGACCCCTCCGAACACGTTCACAGGCCCTTAACAGCTCCTCTGTTCTGCAAGGCTGGCTCTGTGCACAGCAGCCTGTGCGGGTGTACTTGGCACGGCCGCTGCCAGCGGCTGAGCCCCGGGGAGCAGCCGGCAAGGACGGGGCCCTGCTGAGCCGCGCCAGGACTCAGGTGCATGAACCCAAGGGGCAGGTTGTCAATGGGGACGGGAAAGGAACCAAACCGCAGCCCTGTGCCGCCCATGAGAGCAGGGGGACCCTCCCTGTGCCAGGAGGCCACGGTGTGGGGCACTGGAGCCCTGCGGAGTCCACTCCCGCATGCCATGGTGCTGATGGCATAGGTGGCTCTGACACCTCCCTTGAGGAAGGAGCGGCTCCCGCTGTGTGTGAGGCCGGGGTAAGTTTAGAACAGGGTCACCGTGTGCTGGCATGGGGACAGGCGCTGTGCACTGCGTGCAGTGAGTGTGCCGTCGGGTGCAGCAGGGGGGCTCTGCCTTCAGTGCATGGGGGCTCTGTGGCTGGGAGGCCAAATGGAAACCAGAACATAAAATAATGACACCAATATCAGAGATTCTTTTCCCCACAGTGCAGGGGCTGTGCAGTGGTGCAGGAGGTGCAGGGGCTGTGCAGTGGTGCAGGAGGTGCAGGGGCTGTGCAGTGGTGCAGGAGGTGCAGGGGCTGTGCAGTGGTGCAGGAGGTGCAGGGGCTGTGCAGTGGTGTGGACCCTGCAAACCCGAGGCTGTGAAACCCACGGCCTCCACGTCACCAGCTCCCACAGCCACGGCCGTGTGCGCATTCCCACTGTTGCTGCTCGAGGACTGCTAGGACTGCCCGGGACCTGGAAGCCCATGGGCCAGTGAACGGTTCAGAGCTGGGTGAGCCCAGGCAGGCACAGGTTCTCATTGCTGCCTGAGAGGGAGCTGCAAGGGAACAGGCTCTGATGGACTGCTGCTCCTCTTCAGAGTATGTGAAGCCTGGGAGCACTATAGAGAGGGTTTGTTTATTACCACGATGCAATTCTTTACTGGGTAGAGGCTTTGTCACATTTAGTACCACCAACACTCCTCCTGTGCGCTAATGATAGGGATTCCTTGCTTGATTGGAATGCACAATAGGTACACCGTGTGCCATGGCATTAGATCTAAGGCAGAAGCTCTTCCCTGTGAGGGTGCTGAGGCGCTGGCACAGGGTGCCCAGAGAAGCTGTGGCTGCCCCATCCCTGGCAGTGCTCAAGGCCAGGTTGGACACAGGGGCTTGGAGCAAGCTGCTCCAGTGGAAGGGGTCCCTGCCCGTGGCAGGGGTTGGAGCTGGAGGAGCTTTGAGGCCCCCTCAGCCCACACCGGTGTGATTCCATGGTTTGTACTTGCTCTGCCCACAGGAAGTGTGTTTCTAGGGCAGTTTGCTTGTTTGAATCTGACAAAATCATCAGCTGGGAGCGTCCCACAGAGGGAGCAGCCCAGGAGGCAGAAGGGGCAGGGGATGGGCCAGCAAACAAAGGAGAGGCAGAGCACTGACTCACCTTAGTGCCAGAGAAGTGACCTCACTCTCACTGGGCACGCAGCTTCAGTCCAGACAAAAGAACTGGGACTAATGTTGCAATAAGCAGATAAATTATAGGGTACAGCTGTAAGGCCAGCCCTGGTTCTCTGTTCCCAGCCAGGACACTGCCTGACGGCTCAAGGTGCAGATCTGAGAGTGCTCTTCCCAACTGTAAATGGGTAACTGAATTTCAGCTCACCGCTGTATCAAGCACCTGCACTGACTGCCTTGGGCAGCCCGTGGTTAACATCATCACCCTCACCCACGGAGGCCTCTAACAATCCTTGGCCACCCCTTATGCTTTCCTTGGGGTTTGTCTTCTACCTTAGAATCTCGGCTTTGCTTTTGAAAGACTCAGAGTGCTGCAGGTGCCCATGCGTGTTCACGCAGCGCCCGTGGGTACAGGCACCCCACAGACACTTCTGGCAGCAGCACAAGTACACGGTTTGATTCTTAACAGCTTAAAGTATTTGGTACCAGGGATTCTTGTGAGGTTAAGGAAATGTCAGACCAGCATTGTCCGTCAGCACAGAGCCCTGGGGCCGCTGCCTGCCTCCAAAGAGCAGCTGCTCACTGCCTCAGCATCTTGGTTTGCTTTCTTCCTTTCCACTTGGGAAGCTCCTTTTAACTGCTGCCCCCGTGCTTTCACCGCTGCTGTGTGCTGTTTGATGTGCTGCTCCAGCTTCTTTTCCCAGCAGGATCTAAGTAAACACGGTAACATCATTCCAGTTGCTCTGTATTCGTCGGCCCTTCTGTTCCCAGTTTCAAGTGTTACAGCTCATTTCTGCCCAAAAGGATTCCAGACACAGGGAGCAAAATGAGGACATGCTGTGGCCCTGCCTTTGCTCACGTGCACGCGGTGGGGTGCGTGCCATGTGGGGGTCTGGCCCTGTCCCACGCTGGCTCGCACGCTTGCAGGGATCTATGGAATTAGTTTGTTGTTGATGCCACACCACATCCCACACCTCCCTCAGTGCAGAAGCGCGATGGTGCTCTGGGGGGAGCTGAGGGTTTGGTAGCTCCACAGACTGGATTTGATGGGTCCTCGGCCCGGCTGCTGTGGGATCTGGAAGGCTTTGAGGGAAGGAGGCAGTGCAATGGCAAAGGACAAAAGGAGAGGAGTGCAGTGATTCAAGGGGGGATGCCGAGCCGGTTCAGCACAAGCAGTGGGTGCGATGGAAGCATGATGCCAAAACAGGAATCTGAAGGGACGGAGGTGCCCCAGGGCAGGAGGCTGAGCCTGTTTGACTGTCCTGCTTTAGAGGTAAGATCATGTTGGGCAGCAGAAGTACAAAAGGAGTGCTGCGGGGCAGCGCTCTCCAGTGCAGAGGGACATCCACACAGGAGGAGAGCCAGTGCAACAGCAGGGCTCAAGTACAGTGGCTGCTAAATACTGGATTCACTGCACTTGTACTTGACCTGTCTGGCCATAGCCCTGGTACCCGCAACTGCCCCTCTTCCATATTACAAGACAGTGTAATCTAGTGTATTTTCCCTTAAAGCTGATTAAATATTTCCTTGACTTCCAGGCATCTGTTATGAGCTATGTTCTGAGATTACAGCTCGAACACACTTGTGTAGTTGGTCCAGTTACAGCCTCATACAAAGATAGTTCAGAGTGAAGCAAACCAGCACAGCTTGCACTCATTTCGAGCTTTCCCCATAGACATTAAAAGACACTAAAGAGAAAAAAGCCCTGAAACTCAGTTTGAATACATTCAAAAACCAGCCCCAGCCCCATTTTACAGGCTCTAAAACCTGTTCGTACATAAACCCTCAGAAAGAGGAATGATTTCAAGCGTTTTCAGGTATTTTCCAGCCCTGCTGACAGACTCAAACAACTGAGACAAGTGTAAATTCAGGCTCTGGGCTGAGCCTGTCAAGGTGAGGCCATCAGGACCAGAGGTGCTGAGTTTCTGGCCAGCCCCTGGCTCACACTCCCTGTGTTCAGATGATACAGAGCTACAATAACATCATTGGCTTATTATTAAAACTAATTATTGCTAATACATTAGGAATTGCTTTAGGAGCATGCCTGGAAGCTGGATGTTGCACTATACATGAAGAAGCCAATGCATGTAGCTCAGGGACAAGTCCTGAAGCACTAGTGAGTCTCCTTTAAAAGGTTTTGGGTTTTGCTTAATAAGCCTGGAATTTAGTTGCCCTCTTATTTCTCCTTTAACCACAATGCTTCTTTACTGGGCTGCAAGATTTCTTTACTTGATAGGATAGCAAAAATGAAATGAATACTTTCATAATGACAAAATAAATGGAAGTCATCAGTTGCATTATATGGCAACAGCTTCAGCACTCACCTTGAAGCTTCACCCTTTACTTCCAGCATCCATTCTTCCACTGTCTGAGGTGTACGGTCCTGTTTCTCAGCTCTCTTGTTCATGGTGTGGTAACTGATGTTAGCAGGTGCATAGGGTGCATCTTTGGGTACCTACAGCAAAATAGAATGGTAACACATTATCTGGAGATGGCAGCGATTAAAACCTGGTTGCACATTGAATTCAAAGCCTGGTGAAGGCTGCAGTGATGGCTGGTGCACAGTGACCACTGGAAGCACTGTGGCTGGCGCTAGGCTGCTGGGCTCTGGGGACACACGGGTGGGAAGACAGTTCCCATGTGTGTTCCCACTTGTCACACAGCAGGAACAGGCTTTCATTGCTGTACAAAGCTTTAATAGAGAGCCCAGGGAATCAAACCCCAAAGCTGTGAGAAGGCTGGGCTGGAGCACCTTGAGTTTTAGTACAGTAACACCGGTGCTGTGGAGCACAGTGACTATGCTCATGAGCACTGCTGCGGCTACACTGGCTGAAGTCAGAATCCTACAACTCAGCTCTGCATCTTCTACTTCTGTGTGTTATTGCTTTAAATTAAGCTGCCACTTGGTGCTAAGCTGGTTAAGTGTTAACCAGGTTAAGTGTAACTTGGGGCAAACTGCTCTAGTGGAAGGTGTCCCTGCCCATGGCAGGGGTTGGAACTGGAGGAGCTTTAAGGTCCCTTCCAAACCCTTCTCTACGATCCACAGATGAAATGCAGTATGTATTTTGTATTTATTTACAAGGGTCTTGCTTCCCTCAGACCTGGGAATAAAAACCAGATAAACCAAATCCTTTGAAATGGTTTAAATGCAGGTCAATGGTGATGCTTTACACAAGCTCCTGCCATAAAGTGAGACACTTAAAAATGCTTCTTAATGCCTTAAGAACAACCCCCCCCCCCCAGCCCAGAGCAGCACCCACCCTCCTGTGGGGGGGCAGGAACGCCAGAATGTATAGCTATATGTTCAACATAGAATACTGCATTAGCAGTAACTGGGAATGCAGCACGGTCTATCATCCAGCTTCTGCCCTGTCGCTTTTTTCTCGGTAGGTATGTGTTTGCCTTGAGAGCTTGATCTCATATTACTGAAGAACAGGAAACCACCATTCCAGCATGAACAATGTGAGAACTGGAGTATTTAGGGTTAAACAAAGGAGTATGCTCTGTAATACTCAAGGGATATGAAAACTGCTCCTAACAAGATGATGGGAGAACAGAGAAATACTGTACATATGAGAGCGAAAAGCAAAGACAGTGACTGAAGGTGTGGGAGCGTGGTGCAAAGCTGTTGGTTGAGGGCTCCAGCACAGGCAGCAGCAGCAGCAGCCGCAGCCGTGCAGGGCTGGTGTGTGGTCCCATGGAGCCATCCCATGCTCAGCCTGTGTGCACGCAAGCATCTGCCATCAACACCCCTTCAGTCCACACAGCATCCCTTCCATACACACGGGTTGCCATCACTGGGTATGTGCATCGCATCACTCTATGTACCTAATATGCTCTTTTGGCTTGTTTTGTTTTTAAAGAAGAGAAGACATTTACAGGAGAAACTCAAGCACTGTCAGTGGGGGAGCACAGCCTTCTCCACATTCATAGAGTCACAGAACAGTTTGGGTTGGAAGAGAGCCTCAAAGCTCACCAAGTCCAACCCCTTGCAATGAGCTGGGTCTTCCACTAAGTCAGGTTGTTGAAAACCACATCCATCCTTGAATGTCTCCAGGGAAAGCACATCCACTAACTGTGGACAACCCATGCCAGTGTTTTACCACCTTCATTGTACAGGAGTTCTTCCTCACATCCAGCCTGAATCTCCCTCTTTTAGTTTAAAACCATCACCCCTCAGCCTATGGCAGCAGGACCTGCTGAAAAGTCTCTCTCCACCTTTCTTATAGGCCCCTTTTAAGTATTGAAAGGCTGTAATAAGGTCTCCCTGGAGACTTCTCCAGGCTGAACAAACCCAACCCCTATTTATTTATGTGGGAACATGGAAGCAAAATCTGTAAATGCATCAGGTAAAAGCATACTTGTTCCTTCTCTTGTCAGTCAAAACTCAGTTCTGTTCTATGCCAACTGGATCTCTGTGGTCCTAAAAATAACCAGCTGGGTTGGCAAAACAAAGCCCTTCCTGCACAGAGAAAGCAGAGTGCAAAGCCTCAGCGGGAGAAGAGAACACCCCGGGAGCTGTTATCCATTGGGAAGGCTCCCAGGGCTTCAGCAGAAGCCCAGGGAGCCAGTTTCCAGTGCAAACCAATCCAGCCTGACCCCGTATTCAGATGTGGCCCTGGCTGATCAGAGCAGAAAGAGACATTTCTCTCACAACCTGCTCCTGCAGCACGCACGCATAAAACCCACCCTGCAAACCCCTTCCTGCACCCCAGAGAAACTTTGCTTTGGCTTTACTGTTGTGGCAGGACTGGCCAAGACGTTGTCACAGATGGAAGCATTACATTGATGTATCTCTAACTTCCAGGGCGATAAGGGCAGCAGTGAACAATCACAGGCTAGAAGAATCAGGTTAAAATGTGTGGTAACCTAGAGCTGGGTAACAACTGCACTGAAGATCACAGAATCCCAGCCTGTTTGTGCTGAAGGGACCTCAAAGCTCCTCCAGCTCCAACCCCTGCCATGGCAGGGACCCCTTCCACTGGAGCAGCTTGCTCCAAGCCCCTGTGTCCAACCTGGCCTTGAGCACTGCCAGGGATGGGGCAGCCACAGCTTCTCTGGGCACCCTGTGCCAGCGCCTCAGCACCCTCACAGGGAAGAACCAATGAACTGTGACACTAAACCTGTACAAATTCCTTGTTACCACTGAGCGATGGGATTCATTTTCATTTTAAAGCTGCTGACATCTCACAGAATATTGGGAATCTTCCTACGCTTCCAGGGTTAGGAGAAGCATGTTCAGCAGCCATGAAGCTGAGACACAAGAATTCCTCACAGCAAGAGAAACGCTCCCTGAGCATCCCAAGCTCCCTCAGGGATCATCTCGAACTGCCTTACTCAGTGTCTTTGCTACAGTTGGTTTTCACACCACAGCATTGGAAGGATCGTGTGCATCCATTTTTAGCACCTCATCTCTTGCAGTGCTGCACTATGAGGAATGAGTCTAATGGCAAAGCCAACACGACAGGAGGGGTTGGATTTTAGATTTACTATTTTGTTACTCTGGAGAGAAAACTTCTCAGGCCTTTCACACAGGCTCAGGAAGAACCAGAAGCGAGGTCCCTCCTCCCCTATGCCCTTCCATACCCATATGTTTACAAATCCCTGCAGGAACCAGCAAATCCAGCCGACTTCCCAGTCAGTTTGGCAGCGGCTGCACCGCACAGTGGAGGCGTTTGGTGATTTCAGACTCCCATTTCTACACACGCTCTCCTGTTCCAACGCCTCTGAGAGCCGCTTACTGGAGCCACCACAGATTTCCAACAGCATCGTGAAGGATCAGTGACTCCCACACTGCACATGGGCTCCTGCAGGAGCCCCGGTCCACGCGGGAATGTGAGATAGGGTCAGCAAAGCCATCGCTGAGGGGATGCTGCTTCGAGTGCTGCATTCCTCCCTTTAAGTTTTCAATTTGAATGCATGGAGTACATGGAAAATAAATCAAAGGCTACCATTGGTGGATTGGGGTTCCCATGTCCTACCTTGCTGGTCTCTATACCATATCTGCCTTTGTAGGTAAGAATCTAAACGCTTCTCTTCTTTCTTCCCTCAGCTTTGCCTGGCTGCACCATTCCCAAAGCATTTCTTTACCGCTGAAAAGGTGAATTTGTGTCAGACTTCTAAAGCCATCACTTTAGGAGGTCGACGTTATTACTCTTGAGATGATACTTATTAGACATACTGATTCCTAACAAAGAGAAACAGAACACCAGGGACCTCTTCATGAAGCATTAACTTCATGAGCTAATGCTTAAAGATGAGAACTGTGAAGACCCACCCTCACTTCCCAGTTCAGTGGAGGGAAATAGCAGGAAAGAGCAGGACACAGATCCCAATTAGAGCCATGCAGAGCAATGAAATGACTGGTAGCAAGCACTCAGCTCATCTCTGGGCTATAGACTAAACATGGTGAGCTTCAATAATGAGTAGAGCTGAGTGAACATAAAGAAGTAGTAGACAGTTGTACCACAAATAGTTCTACTGGATCACATAATCTGACCCATCGTATTTTTAGGGTGCATCAGTTAAGGTCTCATTAATACCTACTCATTATATCTATTCATTAATATCTACTCTCATTCTGAATGTCCAAAGTGATTCTCCTGCATTTCAGTACCAAGTGTCAGGCTACTCCTCCTTGTACTGCCACTCTGGCACATAAACAGGTCAATCCCCTTCATTGCCATTGTTACAGGCACTGTCCTTAAGTCTGCCCAGTATTTGCCCCTTGACCTCTATATTCTGTCTGGAACTGCCCACAGAGCTAAGGACTGCTCACACTGGAGGCCAACGAGAAGCTGAACAAACACCGCCTTTGTGTCCGCATCTCACCTGGGGTGGGTAAGGGGCAGGATAAAAGAGCCACACTTCAGAGGAAGGGCAGGTTGTGGCAGATAAAGCTCAGCCCTGTTCCCAATGGTCCCTCTATGCTGTGCACACACTGGATAAGGAACTGGCAGGAGAAGCCTGCTCATGCTCACTAGCCCTGGCTCACTGCCCTGTCACCAGCACCTAGGTACACCTCTTAGGACCAGCAGCATTCCCTGCCTGGCTGGAAGGGAACAGGAGACAAGAATTCCCTGGCTCTGCTCCTCTCCTGGTGCCAGAATGCCCAGGAAGAACCCCAGCTCACCAGATGTAACCCGAATCACTGTAATGCAGAGGTCCAGCTCCTGTGCCCCAGATCAAGGGCATCAGCCTTGCACAGCACAGCTAGCTGGTGCTTCCAGAGTGCCACCGAGGGGCGCTTGTTCTGTAAGAGGAATTCCAGAGCTCCAGAGAGAAAAGAGAAAAGGTGTTAAGATGCTCCAAATGAGGGCTACCGCTGCCTCATTTCTTGGGTCTCCCCCGGAGTAAGTGGCCCGATGTCTGAAGAGCAGTCCAAGTGTAGGCACAAAGTGGGGAAGCACGCAGAGATGAGCGAGTGCTTGTAGCCAAATGTGTTCAATCCGCACGCTTTTTATACCCTGGATGTCTCACATCTTTATTATGTGGTAGGCAGAGTTTGCCCTCTAGCTGCAGCCTTCTGTCAGCAAAGCTGAAGTCGAATTTAAGCTTCCATGGAATGTAACGTGTGGATTAACTGGAATGGGTTTATTTTCTCTCAGACAGAATAGGAATGCATGGAGTTCCGTGGCTGAGCAGGTAAGAAGCCTGGTCAGTCACCTTTCTGCTGCCTTGGGGCACTGCACTCTGCAAGGAAAGCCACTCCCTATTCCCACTTATAGTGAAAGATACTTGCAATCCTTTCCTTATGGACAGTAGAGGAGGGGATTATTAAGCAGCAAAGTCACAGCTTTGAAGACAGTGATGCTGTGATACTTGGTTTTTCCTTTAGTCAAATAAAGCTCATTCCTTCTTCAGCTCCTCTGCTGCTGAGCTGCACTTCTCCGCTCGCTTCACCTGCAGAGGCCTGTCAGAGGGCAGAGGCTCAGTAAGTGCATCTCTTTGGGTGGTTTCTGCTCCTTTTCAAATGAACACTTTGGTGTTGCTCACTGAATGCTACGAAGAAAAGCAGGCACAGTTAATGATGGGGACATACACAGCCACAATGCTGGGTTTAGCTACCGGTGATCCTGCTTACGAGCAGCACTGTTCTATTTCCATATAACCATTAAAGTATTGAAAGTAAAAGCCTTTTTTAAGTAATTTACCAAATAAATTACTTCATAACCCACTGCAAGCCTGAGGCTGCATTGTGAGGGGAAATACTAAGCACAAACCACAAATTCTGCAAGGTTTTCCATCCTGTTGATACTCCAAACCCCCAAAACCCCTAAACTGTGAGCACTTGAGGTGTGGGGCACACAGTCAGACAGACTGTGCCCCATGTCCTTGTCCCAGGCCCAGCAGTGAGCACGGAGCACACAGGTAGGAGGGGAGAAGCTCCCAGATCAGTGGATCTGATGCCTGGAGCGTTCCCCTGCCTCTGCCCCCCTAATTCAGCACCTGGCTTCTGCTACTGACTTCCAGTGCTTCGTGTTCCTGGGTGGCATCAGAGAGGTGGAGGCAGGGAACACAAAAGAATGAAGAGAAAGAGAGAAAGCAAGAAAGCAAACTCCACGTAAATGTCAAAACCCCTTCTCTGTTCCCGTCTGAAATGAGAAACCTCCTCAGGTCACTGATGCTTCAATAAAGCCAGTCAGCTCCAGCTTAGTGAAAACTGCTGAGAGAAACGATTTGTAAGCACCAGTAAAAATGTTTGTGAATATTGGGGGACACAAATCCTTGCTATCATGGGAAATATTGATAAAATAAAGTTACGAACGTTTCCCGTGTGTTTATTCTCTCCTTTACACAAAAGTTACTTCCCAAATAGAGTTTGCGTTATTGCAAGACGTGACAAAGCAAGCATCTGATAGATGCTTTGCATGCAAACATAAAGGAATTGAATGTATTACCTTGTATTTATACGTAGTTATTTATCACACTGCATATACTAGAAATGAAAAAGTACCTGCAGGATGCTGCAGCCCTTTGTTATTCTGTATTATGGAATTCTATATTTCAGGGGAATGAATCTGGACATTCAAGGGGCCAATTATCAAAATCGAAAACCAAGTAAATGAGAAGATATAAAAGTTTGATAGTGGGTTTTAATATTTAAAATAATAGAAAATACAAGAGTTGGGTCCGTACTCTCCGTACTTCTGTCACAAGTCGCATTTACCCCTCACACACCCACCGCACAGTGCGTGCAGGGATGCACTTGAACTGCTTCGGTATTTCCCAGTGGAAGCACAGAGCCTGCAGCACTTGCAGGACCCTCATGGTGCTCCCCAGCATGGGGGGGTTCAGTCACGGGCCGGTGCCGCTGGGTGCGGGCAGAGCTGCGCCTTCTGCCGGAGCCTGCCCCGTGCTGCGCTGTGCCCTGGGCTGCACCCGCACGGCCTCAGCAGGCAGCTCCTCCTTCTCCTCCCTGTGATTCCTGCCCGCAGCCCCGGAACCGCCGCCTCTCCTCGCTTGGCCGCCCCTGGGACAAACCCCGGCTGCGCTGCAGCAGCTCACTGGGCTCAGCTCCGCGGCCGGCGGCGCCCCTGCAGGGGTTGAAGGGAGAGGGCTGCAGTCCCGCATCCCCGTTCCCGGGGGTTAAGCCCAGCGCAGTGCTCAGATGGTGCCAGTCAATCAATCCAACAGAAGTGGAACTCGCTGGTCTTTTTTTCCTTTAACACATATTCTATGCTCAAAGATTTCTCCCAAAGTTTGAAGCCATCTGTGCTCTGTAAGACACCAGCAGGCTGCGGATGGATGTGAGCAGAGCAGGGCCTCCTTTGCACGGGTAATTCATGTACCTTGTACCTCAGGAAACTTCACCCAGCTTCTTACCAGTTCTCTACCCTGCAGAAGCTGATCCAACTCCCATCAGTTTTGCTAAGTGCTCAGTACTTGACCTGAGGTTTCTGGAGAGGGGCTTGGGACAAGGGCCTGTAGGGACAGGCCAAGGGGAATGGCTTGAACCTGCCCGAGGGGAGACTGAGCTGAGCTCTTAGGCAGAAGCTCTTCCCTGTGAGGGTGCTGAGGCGCTGGCACAGGGTGCCCAGAGAAGCTGTGGCTGCCCCATCCCTGGCAGTGCTCAAGGCCAGGTTGGACACAGGGGCTTGGAGCAAGCTGCTCCAGTGGAAGGGGTCCCTGCCCGTGGCAGGGGTTGGAGCTGGAGGAGCTTTGAGGTCCCTTCCAACACAAACCAGGCTGGGATTCTGTGACTTATACTGAGCTTAAGAGCCACTTGTCCTCGACACCCTGCACAAATCACGGGCTCACAGCAGCGTCCACAGCCTGATTCCCTGCAGGTCCCTTGTTGTCTTTCTCCTATCTGCCACCCCATCTGGGGCTTGCCCATTATCCATCTGCAGCCTACCACAGACATCAGCAAGGATTAGATGTGGCCTGTCAATGTGTGAATGACAGGGAACTCTGAACCAGAGTAGGACACCAAAGGGGAAAATCCCAGCTTTGCACTGGGATCTCTGCACTGAGGGTAAAAATAGAGTCCCACAATGCATGTGCATACAGGACTGAGTTTAGGCTGCATACAGCCCTCACTTTTTCTCTCACTTTGTTTTTCTGGAGCATTTATAGGCTGCCAGTGTAGATTTGGGTATAAATAAGTATTACATGAACTGTGTATGACTGAATTAAAGACAAGAGTACTCTGCATGATGAATAGGAGTTAAAAATATGTTCCATGTATCAGAGGAAGTGAAAATGCAAAGCAAACAGATACAATAATCATTAACATACTACAAGGGCCCAAATGCAATCTGTGAGTCAAAACAGGAAATAGCTCTTAACATAATCAATTCAAATATGTAATGTGATGCAATGGCAACAACCAAAGTAGTGATGAAAGCTCCAGCACATCCTGCATTCCATGCCAGCTGGCATCTCAGTTTAGACAAATCTACCTTTATTATACTGTTAGAGGTATTAATCTTCACACACAACTGAACTTACTCAGTGATCTTTCATATTTACATGACAATGATCAATTCTAGGGTGTACCTACACTGCATACAAAGTGACTTCTACTTATTGGTTATGGAGGCTTGTGTCTAAGTCATTCAGGCACCCAGAGCAGAGCCAAGCTTAGCAATAGGTGACTGGCAGAGAGCTCCTCCACCTTTTGGGGCAGGTCTGTACCTACCTGTGTACCTATGCAACAGCTACATCTGTCACAGCTCCTCACCTCCACTGCAGTGTTGGGAGATGCTGAGTTGCACAAAGGTTTGGTTCCATAGACTCAGGAGGTTCCCTGACTCCTAGAGAAGAAACACCCTGGATTTCATCTTCCTCTCGCATTTTAGAGAGAAAGCATTCTTGCAAGGCACATTCTGTTATCTTCTCTGCATGAAGTATGTATATACTACTTCTTACACACTGCCCGCATCCAACATGAACAGATGGGCCATGTGGGAGGGAGCAAAAAACTCCTGCATATCACAGAAGGTTCCCAAACTTCATGTGCATGCCCACAGATTCTAACTATTAAAGTCCATGGGATTATTCTTCTTTAAATACACCACTATCTAAGCTAACATTAAACAAAGCACCACAAGTTACAATGCTATTCCAGAGCAGCATTATACTTGTTTTGTCATTCTGATCCACTGTGTTGGAGCTATGCAGAACAGAACAGAGCACAATCCCACATCCTTGTGCAGACATAAATCAGCAGGGAAAATGCTTTTGATTTGCTATTTTGAAGGCTCCTAACCAAGCCCCGGTGATGTTCAAGACTGCACTGCTGAAGGGGAGTTAAAAACCAAACCAAACCAGTGGTGTGTTCCCAGTGCACTGCATGGTTGGATGGAAAGGAAGCAGGTAACAAGCATGAGTGACCTTGGAAAACCAGCTGTGCCCACAGGAGCCCACAGCCCTGTCACACAGCCCTCTGCTGCTTGCCAAACCAGCCTCTCACCCCAACACTACCTGAGCAGAGATCAGCTGTAATGAGTGCTGGATTGCTGGGCCAGGAGAGAAAGAGAGCTCTGAAAGCTACCACTGCCTCACCTCCCACCGAGGGAGAAAGGGAGAAGGGCAGACAGGTGAGCATCAGAGTGCACATCTTCAGAAGCAAAATCCAGAGCTCTTTCATTGCATCAGCCAACATCTGGTGTTGGAAGGGACCTTAAAGCTCCTCCAGCTCCAACCCCTGCCACAGGCAGGGACCCCTTCCACTGGAGCAGCTTGCTCCAAGCCCCTGTGTCCAACCTGGCCTTGAGCACTGCCAGGGATGGGGCAGCCACAGCTTCTCTGGGCACCCTGTGCCAGCGCCTCAGCACCCTCACAGGGAAGAGCTTCTGCCTAAGAGCTCAGCTCAGTCTCCCCTCGGGCAGGTTCAAGCCATTCCCCTTGGCCTGTCCCTACAGGCCCTTGACAAAAGTCCACTAATACGGAAGAAAAGATACAAACACTGAGCACAGATGATGCAGACAAAACTTACCTATATAGAAAAATGCAGTGCTGGCTCTCAAGTCATGCTCACATGGTGAAATCTGAAGGGAAATAGTGCAAATGAAGCCACACTACTGGGATATCATTTGTCCCAGACTAAGACTAATAAACAAGGTCTTAAACCCCTGACAATAATCATGTGAGGTTCTGGAACTGCTCACTATTCCCTTCAATGACACCATGCATGGACCTGAGGATAATCAAAACATATATAGTCATTATCTTTACATCAGTATTTTGACTTCATTTCAGTGTCATGGTATTTGGAGCTGACATTTTCCTATCTTACCACATTACTTAGCACTTCAAGCTGCTCATTCATGCCCTGAATTTACTGCATCCCTTTAATGATATCACATTTTAACACCACCAATTCCAGTCGGATGCTAATGGTACCCAGGGTAATTAGCCTTCATTACAGGAAAGCTTAAGTATGAGAAGAGGTCTTCTGTGGGAACATGCCCAGTATTTCTATTATTAATGACTTCTGGAATCTATCAGACCATAAATAATACAAATTATGTTGTATCTTTTCCTCCCTTCTGACAACTTCTTAATTTTACCCTCCTGATGTGAATTTATAACTGTGATACTGGAACAAAAAAAGGAGGAAGTGTGATAAAGGGCAAGCTGTGTCTTTGAGGAACATGGGCTCAAACCCAGGACCAAAGAACAGAAAACACTGTCAGACTCCTGGAGTGTGGATGAACATTTATTCTGTAAGCCAGGTACTGGCAGTGCTCAAGGCCAGGTTGGACACAGGGGCTTGGAGCAAGCTGCTCCAGTGGAAGGGGTCCCTGCCTGTGGCAGGGGTTGGAGCTGGGTGAGATTTAAGGTCCTTTCCAACACAAACCAGGCTGGGATTCTGTGACACCCATTAGTGAAGAGCCACCAGGAAAGCACCGCTTTGTTCACACTGTTCTCAAAACAAATCACAGTAAGTGCACACAAAGACACCTCCAACATACCTGAAGTGGCTGGCTCCATGCAGGGTAGGTTTCCTTCCCAAAATGCTGAAGAAAGGACAGGATGGGTTTTAATCCCTTTTGTTGACCTCTTTAGGAGGAAATTCAAGGAGACAATGTCTCAGATTCAGGGCTGTCAGCAAAGTCAAGTGTCCTGTGGAAAAGTCATGGTTTAGCAAACACAGAACCATGGAACAGCCCAGGTTGGAAAGGACCTTGATGATCATCAGGCCCAACCTTTGAGCATTTGGCAAGGTGGGTGAGTTTGCAGTGTTCAAGGCCAGGTTGGACACAGGAGCTTGGAGGAAGCTGCTCCAGTGGAATTTGTCCCTGCCTGTGGCAGGGGTTGGAGCTGGATGAGTTTTAAGGTCCCTTCCAACCCAAACCATTCTATGTCGAGGATGATGAACCGCAGTGACAGTCACATTAATTGAGTCAAAGGGAATGACTGGTAAGCACTGTGCCTGTGATTTCTAAGATAATGACCCTTATTGCACATGCAAACACTATATACCGCCTTAAATTATGTATTTGGCCAAGTCTAGTGATTTTTAGTTTCCCAATGTTTTTATATATGCACAGTGTCGCTGATACTGCCTTACCTAAGATTATTCCCGAATTGCACTTTCTAGTGCATTGTTCTGATTTTCTACTTCTTGAAATCACTGGGTCTACCTCACTTCTCACCCCCAGCCCCTCTGGGTGACAATGGACAGAGGATAACTCTCTGGCCTCCCAAGGGCCACACACACCTCATCAACTGCCCAGCCTCCCGCTTAGCTCATAGAATCCTAGAATCACGGGGTAGGTTGAGCTGGAAGGTACCCCCATGCTCATCCAGTCCAACCCCATGACCAAGACATGTGCAGCACCGGTGACACGTGTGACGAGGAGCTGCCAGGGTGGTGGGAGCCATCCCTCACGTTCCACCTGCTGCCGAGGGAACACCAAACGCACAGAATCCTGCCAGGATCGGAGTCGTGCTCATGAGTTGTGTTTATACATATTTGTCAATTCTGTTTCCCAGATGTAAACCAGAATTTGCCCTTTTCCCTCCCTATCAGGGCTGGCAGAATTAAGCAAGGCTTTCACTCGATCTTGCTTCAGCCGAGAACACAACCGTTGAAATCTGTTCAATCCCTCTAGCAGCAGCGGGCCACTCTCCAGAAGGACGGTAATAACCACATTTCGCCCTGACATTTTAACATGACACATGGTTTATAATGATGTATTTAGGGAGTGCAGCACTGAAACCGCACCGAGATTCGGGATTTCATGATGGTTTCACATTGCATTACTGGAGTCACACTTCCAATCTGCATTCACAGCCTGATCCGCTCGCTCTCCGCAGGCTGCCTGCTTCACGTTCTGCCGGTGCCGAAGCGCTTCGCTCATTACGCTATGAAATAGCGTGTTTGCTCTTTTAAAGTGCTCCTGGAAAACCTGACTTGCGGAAATGACAAATACATTACTAAGCACAGCCATTTGATTGTAAATTAGCAGCAATTAAAGCTGAAAGGAGTGTTACAAAACAAACGTTCCCGTGCGATTAACAACCCTTTGACGTTCCTGCTCTGGAAATGTCAGCTCCTGCAACACTCACAGAGTGCACTTGAGAAAATCCAACCCAGCCTGAGCCAACGGAGCAGCTCGGGGGGCTCCGGGGACCACAAAGCAGTTTTCCAAGCATCAGGATGGGGACAGTGCTGGATCCTTCTGGGTCCGTGCCCTTGGAAGGGAGCCTTGAAGCTCAGGCACAAATGGGTTCTTCACATCAAGGAGCTACCAGGTACAACGTGCTCCATGCAAAGCTACACAGCTACACAGAGAACTCACAGCGCCATCCTGCTACCACCACGGGATGCAGGTTTGTTCCAGTTCCGCCGGAATGGAGAACACACACACCTAAAACTGACTTCAACTGCATCCTGATTTCCCCTTGTTGAGCTGTATTTTTGATCAGCCACAGGCCAAGAGCTGACTTGTAGCTTACCAGTAGTGCAAGAAAACCTGCATCTTGCCATCCCACACCAACAAAGGTCCTTACTGGAGAGGTAAGGCAATCTCAGCCCTGATCTCAAGGCCACTCAACGCTTGTTCTTTTCCTCACAGACCAGAGCTAGAACTGCAACTCTCACATTTTAAGCAGGATTATTACTTTGAAGTCGCTAAAGCTGAACTCCAACTGAGGACCAATGAACACCAGAACAGCCTGAATGGTTACTCTGGAACTGTGCTCAAGGTACACCTGAGCTGAGAGAGAGGAACTGAGCGGGACTGAAGACATCATTTGCTGCAATCCCTGGGGAAAGACTGATGAGTTTGCGTGCCCCACACACATACCACACAATAGGCTGGAACCAGACATACCGCTTTACTGTGAGCTAAGGTTCTGAGGGAGCAATGCAGAATGGGCCTGCCAATGTCCGATGGAAGGGCGAGAGTTCTGGAGAGAGGTTGGAAAAGAGGAATTACCTGGTGCCAGAGAGCAAGGCAGTTCATACACCAAGGAACATCCCAGGCAGGCAGACTGGCCAAGAGAAACAAGCAAAAGGCATAAGGGAGGAAATACCTGCCTACAAACTAAAGGTACAACAGCCCAGCAGTGCTGTGTGCCTGAATCATGCTACGGAGTAACAACAGGGCTTGGAAGTGAAAATCCATGTTTATTGCACAGAGAGGAAATATGCTGTTGTGTAATTATTGCTGTTGGCTTTGTAAAGAAATATACCCACAGAGCTCATATATGGCCCTGGGGGTATTTACAAGCTGTGTAGATGTGGCACTTAATGACATGGGTTAGTGCTGGCCTTGGCAATGCTGGGGAATGCTTGGACTGGATGAGCTTAAAGGTCTTTTCCAACCTAAATGCTTCTATGGTTGTACAAACAAGCATTCCTAGGGCTCTCCACAATGGGACTGACTGTTGTCAGCCTGGCACCAGTGACAAGGGATGCTGAGCTTTGGAGGGTTAGCAAAGTGACTGTGTTCTAAGAGTCTCCATGCACAAGTTTGCTAAGTGAGCTACAATTACCAGGATGCCTTCTCATACAGCCGTGATTCACAGATTAGAAAATGACTTCAAATAATCATAAACCACAAACACAGCAATGGAAGAGCTCCATTACTAACAAGTGGGAATGGCTTTGAAAATGCACCTTGTAAAGAACTCTTTGGGAATACAATTAGATTTGAAGTCGCTCAGCATGAAGAAACCAAATCTATTTTTAAACAGAAATGATCAAAATGAATCACGCAGATGACTTCAGGGCTGGAAAAACGACTTCGTTGTTTTATCTTGCTGAAAACCACTCGGGTTTGAAGATGATCCAACTGCAGTGGGGGAGCTGCACGGGCCATGCAGCCGCAGCTCGTGCTTCACTCGCATGGATGGTGGATGGGCAACGCTCCCTTTCCACAGCCTTTCCATCATTTACTCACCTTTGAAACTGCATCACCCACTGAGATCCTCACGCTGTAGAATCGTTCCTAGCTCCTGCTAAAGAACTCTAAGGTAGGTGCAGCCATAAAATCACGCAGCTCCCATGCAATGCTGTCTTTAGCACCTTGGGCAGTTTTGTAACACTTCTCATGCCCACTTTACAGCAGGGCAAACTGAGGCATGGGCAGCCCTGTGGTGTGTCCAAAGCCAGGAAATGCTCACGAGTTCTCCAGCAAGCCACTGGCAGTCCTGGGAATAGAAAAGCTGTATCCCAAGTCCCCACAGCACTGCCCAACAGTGCTCAGTACACGAGTTTGAGATCATTTCCTGAACCGTGTGGTCTGACAATGAGATTTTCACCTTTGCTGATTAAAGTCAGGCCATGTGATAACCAGGGGAGCCAGAAGAAATGCTCCAGGAACAGCCACAGGTGAACCAAAGCTGGTTTGGGCCATTCAGGCTTCTGCTCCCCTTGCAAAGCCCTTTCATGCCTTGGACAGGTACCTTTGAACAACAGGTTCACTGAACAAAGGCCAGCGCTGCAGACTCATTCCAGATCTCGATGAAAAGCACTCCCCTAGGCATGCAGACTAACAGCTGAGACAGCGATCATGGACCATCCTCCAGCTCACCTGGGTTTACATTGCAACCTTTCTGCTTGGTATTGATGGTACCAGCATCACAGAAGGGGTGTTCTACTGGCAACAAGAGAAGGGATCACGGAGCAGGTGCTGCAGGCCAGACTAATTTAAGCCAGAGCTGATGCTGCCAGCATCAGCTCCTACTCTGTTTCTTATAGAGGAGGTTACGATGGCAAGTGTGCAGACAAGAAGGCAAGAGGCAAGGGTAGGAGGAGGAGTGGGCTGGGAATTAGCTCATGAAACACGATTTTGTCAGAAGCAGCAATCCTGTCAAAACATGGGTGTTGTGTAAAAACACAGGGGATCCTCACAACCCCTCGCTGTGTCACAGGCACAACTCCCAGGTTTCCTCCCAGCATACCAGGGGATTGCTTGGTTCTCCCCTCAGCTCCCTGTGATGGGAGAGCCCTGCAGTGCTGGCTGCTGACACATGCAGGGGCCCTGAGCCCTGACCAGCACAGCTCCACCGCAGGGAAATGAGCAGCTTCAGTAACTGGGGTTAGGGCAGCCCTGTCCATTTCATGGCCCACCCTCTGCTGAGGCCCCAATCCCTGTGCTGGACCAAGTCTTACACTGTCCACTACATTAGGAGTCATGCCTGAAGCAGCTCAGCTGCTGTGGGGCAGAGGGGACTCAGTTCTAAAATCACACACATATATATATACACATATACACATTTATCTGTATCTACTATATGGGGGCAATTGTGGTATATAGAACTACAAGGGGATGTAAAGGCTCTGCCGAGGGAACACACCATCCAAAGTAAAGGCATGTGGTAGGACAGCATCACACTAGTTCAACGGAGAAGGCTCAGGGAGACCTCTGAGCAGTCTTCCAGTGCCTAAAGGGGCTCCAGGAAACCTGGAGAGGGGCTTGGACAAGGGCCTGTAGGGCCAGGCCAAGGGGAATGGCTTGAACCTGCCCGAGGGGAGACTGAGCTGAGCTCTTAGGCAGAAGCTCTTCCCTGTGAGGGTGCTGAGGCGCTGGCACAGGGTGCCCAGAGAAGCTGTGGCTGCCCCATCCCTGGCAGTGCTCAAGGCCAGGTTGGACACAGGGGCTTGGAGCAAGCTGCTCCAGTGGAAGGGGTCCCTGCCTGTGGCAGGGGTTGGAGCTGGGTGAGTTTTAAGGTCCCTTCCAAGCCACCCTGTGACTCCCTGAATGCAGTGAGTCTGATGCAGGATGCTGTTAGACATCCCACAGTGGGTGTGTGTGACTGCTGAAGGCACACGGTGCTGGCAGCGCTCCGCAGAGCTGGCAGTGCCAAGGGGCCTGGCCTGGCCCACCCTGCACAGCCAGGGTACCGCTGCCTCCCTCAGCACGAGCTCTGGGCAGCGCGGCCGCGGGCAGCCTCTCCCTGTGCCTCCATCCATCTGTCACCACGGCACTGCTGCCCTCACACCCCTGCCGGGCTCTGCACCAGTGCCCGTCTCTTGAACACGCCTCCGGCGCAGCGGGAGCGCTGGCATCTCTTTGTCAGTACCCTTCATGGGAGAGCCAGCAGAAATGTCACATAGGGCAGGAATTCCCCATTCCAGCACCAGTCTGGGAAACCTGCAGTGATCAAAGCACTGCAGCAGAGGAGTGTCCTGGTTTTGGGTCTGTCCAGAAAACAGCTCCCACAAAGCAAGTTTTACTGCAGAAGGGCCAGCATAGCAGTGGCTCACTCTGAGAGACTCGAGGATGTTTAAATCAGCAAACAGCACTTTTTTGATGCATTACCACTCAGCTTGAGGTAGAAAGAGCAGAGTTATTGCAGTAGCAGGCTCCCTCATGTGAAGCAGGAATAGAACAGTGAACACCCTCAGTCCTTCCCATGCCTGGGCTACCAGCCATTGCTCCCCAGCAGATGGGTGGGCAGCAGCACAGCTGCAGGGAACACCAAGTCCCGCACCAGTTTGAGGCCACTTCCCTGCATGCTTTGATCCCCTGTTCAAAGCTCGTCTTCAAATATTCTTCCAGGAGATAAACTCCACAGGAACGAGCCCTGCTTCAGGATGCCACTGACAGCTAACCAGCCCCGCAGAGCTGGCACTGTGTGTGAATGAGGAAGCAGCCTCTGAACTAGAGCGGTCAGCTGAAGCAAGCAGCGCCTCATAGAGCTGGAGGGTGCCTGGGCTGGAAGCCTTGAAATGAGACCAGTCCCGAGTGCTCCAGGATCACTGCTGGTGGGAAGCAGGGGGGTCAGTACTGCATGTGCAGGGCCAGCACGGCTGTGGGGCAGGGACGCTTACTGATGTGCCTGGTTGCTTCCTAATGCACTGCCCAAGGAGCAGGAGAGGTCCCACTTGTACAGCACTATGAACAGCAAAGCTTCGTTAAAATCACAGTGTGACAGTGCTTGGGAACGCTCCTGGGCCTTAGACGATGACTGCATCACTAAAGGGTCCCTTCCAACCATTCTGTGAGTCTGTGATTCTATGTCTAACACCCAAGATATGGTTTTAACTTCAGTTTTACTCAAGGAAACAATACTGAACGTTTCTGACTACAGCACTACAATAAAATGTTCCCCTCTTATCAGTGAAGGCAATCATTATGAATAAGTCATTTATTTTCCTGTCTCATAGCACATGCTCGTGGTAAATTAAAACCATTCTTTCCATAAGTATCAAAGTATTTTAAAGTCTAACCACAGAATTAAACACTATGAGCCAAAAAATGTCTTTGGTATCTTCAAACCAGGAGTGAGCACTTCCCGAGCTCTGCAGGTAGCTCTTTTATGGGATTCCTCTCTAAGAGCAGGTTTTCAATTGCCTCTTCAATAAACCAGAGAAGAGGCTGGAAGAGCAAAGTTCATTTAATTAAATACAAACACAAGAACAGTTTTGCTCCTTAATTGTTTCCTTGCTTTTGTTCCCTACTACAGGAAGGGCTCCTCAGGCAAATCCACACTTCCCCATGGCTAACATCAGTGCTGGAAAATGGCACACCCCAAAGCTTTCTGGAACAGCCATCTGAAGCTGGCATTTATGCCCATTTATTATGCAACTACTTCAATATTTAGCATTTGATCTTCCCCTGCAAAGCCTGCTTATCACTTTAAAGTCTGATACTGACTGCTCCAATTATAAACACATCATTTCCAGTTGTTTATCGTCTTGCTGAGCTTCAGCTGTTTGGGTTGTTGAGTGCATTCCTCAGGCTAAATTTGAGCTAAAACTACTCAGCCATTCTTGATAATGAGATTAGAAAGGAATATGCCCTACTTGTACTTCATTGCATCAGCTTCTTTCTTTGCGAAGCTCCAGTGTTCCTATTCTTGGGTGCAGCCGAGGAGCTTGGCACGGGTCACGTACGACATTCATGGCATTTATGTCCCACACAAGATAATATTTTCTTGATATAGCTGAAAATCTGTTAACATTTAGACAAATCCTGAGCTTCTGAGAAAATGTCAGCACGCCCCTGCTCAAAAACAATGGCATTGTCAGGGAAATGCTGGAGCTGCTGAATACACCCTTGTTTGAAGGTCTCCGATGGGAACTTCTGGGCACTGCACGTTCAGGATGCAGGGATGCCTAATCCATGCGAAGGGAGACACTAACACCCAGGCAGCTCTGAAACAGGAACTACACAGACTCCCCACTTCCCTATCTCCTCATTTCTGACTGCTTCATTTTGCCATCTTGACAGCACTCTTGTAAACAGCCTTGAATATCCAGCAACAAACCGGCTCAGACGGTGTTCTATAGGCATGGTGCTGGCTTGATTTACTGCTGCTGCAGTTGGACTTGTTTACTGCTAAAATACAGCAAAACAAACGAGAAGAGAGCTCCGTAGTGTCTGTCACAATATTTCTTTACCTCCAGGAAGAAAACCAAACCAAACCAAACCATTCTGGCAGCTTTTCAGCACCGGATTCACATTTGTGGCAGTATTTGAAGACATCTCAATTCAGTCAAGAAACGCGAGCGCTGGGTGCACGTTTGCCTGTCTGCAGTGGAGTCTTCAGCTGCACTTAGAGGAAAAAGTGATTTCAGACTCTGAACTCAAACTGCCCCACATTTAGAGGCATCCTGGTGTGCAGGGACAGCCCTGCTGCCTCAGGGCAGACTGGTACAGCTTAGAGCAGCTCCAGTGCCTAAAGGGGCTGCAGGAAACCTGGAGAGGGGCTTGGGACAAGGGCCTGAGGGACAGGCCGAGGGGAATGGCTTGAACCTGCCTGAGGGGAGACTGAGCTGAGCTCTTAGGCAGAAGCTCTTCCCTGTGAGGGTGCTGAGGCGCTGGCACAGGGTGCCCAGAGAAGCTGTGGCTGCCCCATCCCTGGCAGTGCTCAAGGCCAGGTTGGACACAGGGGCTTGGAGCAAGCTGCTCCAGTGGAAGGGGTCCCTGCCCGTGGCAGGGGTTGGAGCTGGAGGAGCTTTAAGGTCCCTTCCAACACAAACCAGGCTGGGATTCTGTGTACATGCCCATGGCTGATCCCTGTCCAGCCACACATCCAGATCACACAGGGATTTGTGGAGAGCAGAGTATCAGAGCAGCACTTTCCCTACGTGCACACCAGGCCAGACACTGTTTCCAACATTTTCCAACATTTTTGTTTGATCTGAAGACACTCTACTCATAACAGCTATTAAAATCAATGAAAGGCTCATGAACTGCTTGAATGGTCAACCCATCGGGCCCCAGACTAGCAGTGTTTCATTGAGATTAAAACTACGCTTCAGGCTGCTTCCAGAAAAGCATACCCCAAGAATTAGCAAACATCTTAAAATACAGCTTATGCCCCCACACAAAATAAGGATAAAATGTGAGGAAGTAACATTCAGTGAATATTTCTTATGGAGCTGCTGCCTGGAGTCAGTGTAAACCTACAGACAAGATAAAGCGTGACACATGCAGGGACTGATGACTGACACGTTATGTTGGAGGAAGATGCACACAGAGAATGTCTTCATCTCAGAGAACCTCAACCACTCATGCAATGGTGATGACAGCATTCTAATACAGTTTGTAAATTGTATCAGTCCTGTCCAATTGAATTCAGGAAAGCTGTATTTAGAAGATGTGCAAACATCATTAAACTTGACATTTTCTAGCTGTTTGTAGAGGTATAAATTTCGTTTACTGTATTTTTGTAATCACAAGTTGAATATATCATGATTCACAAACAAGAGATCTTCAAATACCTTTAGGCACCTTGTTTCAGGCACAAGATGCCATGAAACTGTTGGGGGTTTCAAAATGCTGGAACATATCCTGGTCAAGGGTTGCCTCCTCCTCCTCACACAGAAAGGTTGCTTTCAGAAGCACAGCTGTAAACTGGGTTGGTATTCTAACTTCCAGTAAGAAAGTCATTCCTCTGTTGCTGTTCATTACCATGCATTGTCGTTTGTGGTCTTCCGCTTCTGGAGTGAGGAGCAGGGAAGTGTCCAAGGACATGAAAAAAGCCTGGTGGGAAGTTAGCTTTGGTGATCATGGTGATGTGGGAGCACTTCCAGGGTCACCGCAACATGGTGTACTTCTCTCCCTGCATGCTCCATCTGAATCACTGACAGCCAAATAACCCTTCCAGCAGGTAACACCGTGGCAGACAACCAGCACAAACAGACTAACAGGTAACTGTCCTTCATTGTCACTGAGGAGTGACACGAGGTTTGTAACTGTGGCCCCCATTTCCACCTCACCCACACCACTAGTCACTTACAGGTAATTAAAATGGAACTGGGGCAAAACCTCAGTGGGAAGACAACCAGGCCTTGCCTTTTAAGGGTCAGAGGGTGTACAGATCCACTGTGTAATATTAATTGGGCCTTTCAGTTCATGTGGGCTTTAGCAAACACAATTAAGCCTCTTTACCGCTCGCCTGCACTGAGGCCAACGTCAAACAAATGCATGTGAAAGTCTGACTGTTACAATGAAATTACAGTAGGGGAAATAGAAGACAAATACAATTGTTATTACATTATCTGTCTGACCAATGATCTTACCTGCGGAAACCGATTCCAGGGGGAAGAGCTTTAATCTCGTTATAGCAGACATCCAGCCAAACAAGATGTGGCAGCTTTTGAAACAGATCCTCGGGAAGCGTGGATATGACATTTCCTTCCAGATGAAGGTACTGGGCGAAAACCAGAAACATGTTTTACATCCAGAAGGAGAGGGGCTGTTCCTTGGCATGCGACATCGCATGTGAAAACTGTGAACTGCTCTCTGTTGTTGTGGAAGGAACGCTGCTAAAGGGGATTAAAGGATACACAACTATGAATTACACAGGGAGCAGTTTATTTAAGGACTTTTTGTTAAAGAACCCAGGATTAAAGATCATAGCTAAGAACCTGTGGCTTTTCCACTCATCTGGCCCTTAACTGCACTGTGCTACACTTAAATCAAGGGGTGAACTACTCATAACAACTAATTCACCTTTATGTTGGGCAATCTGTACATTTCCTCAGTAAGATGCTTAATATTCTTTTCTGCTGACATTGAGAGTGCTTGAAGATGAGAGCAGAGACTCCTCAGCAGCCTTGCTGATCTCTTCTGATGAATCAGAAACAGGAGAACGTCTCTTGTTCAGATGCTGATCTCCCAGATTGTCACCACTGCTGTAAAGCTCTTCAGAATCGCTGTCATCCATCCATCAGCAAGCCTGGAATCCCGGCTCAGGAATCCAAAGGCACCAGGTGAAGGCAAGTCCTGAGCTGGGAAAAAACAACGTATTTTGGAATGGGAGCATACACAAAGCAACTTGCTGTTTATATTATTAATTTGCAGATCATCCCCGCTGATGTGTATGATACAAACCAGTCAGTTGGTCACTTTCATATATGTATATACTTACACCAATGATACAAGGAACTTGTGAATGCCCCATCCCTGGCAGCGTTCAAGGCAAGGCTGGACAGAGCTTGGAGCAAGCTGCTCCAGTGGAAGGTGTCCCTGCCCATGGCAGGGGTTGGAGCTGGAGGAGCTTTAAGGTCCCTTCCAACCCAAACCAGTCTGAGTCTGTGATTCATCAGGATCACAGAAACATCTGGGTTGGGAAAGACCCATGAAGTGTTCCCCAGCACTGCCCAGGCCACCACTGCCCCATGGCACTGAGGCCTCGTCCCCACGGGGTGTGAACACTTGCAGGGCCGGTGCCTGCAGCCCTGCCCTGGGCAGCCTGTTCCAATGCCTGAGCACCCTCTGGGGCAGGAATTGTTCCTCAGCTCCATCTAAACCTGCCCTGGTGCAGCTTGAGGCCGGTTCCTCTTGTCCCATCCCTTGTTCCTTGGGAGCAGAGCCCAGTCCCCAGATAATAGGCATGTGAAGTCACAGGAAATAACAAGTATCTCCAGCCAGGCTTTGGGGCCACATTGCCACACACTGTGTCGTATGCAACCTTGGGAGAAGCACTGACACACACATACACAGTGAATCACAGAATCGGCACAGAATCCCAGCCTGGTTTGTGTTAAGGGGACCTCGAAGCTCCTCCAGTTCCACCCCCTGCCACGGGCAGGGACCCCTTCCCCTGGCAGGTGTGCAAGGCGCTGAAGGATGCAGGTGCCACCACGGTCTCGGCTCTGTCACCCGCGATGGGTCAGAGCCGTCCCCAGCGCAGCCGCACAGCACCCGCCCGTGCCGAGGACATGGGAGCCGCGTCCCCACGGAGCAGCGCTCGGCCGCTCCTCAGCCGGGGCTCCCGCAGGCCCCGGCGCCCCGAGCCGGCGGCAGCTGCGTCCGTGCTGCTCCCAGCTCCGCCTGCAGCCGTCCCTGGGCGCCCTCCGCCGCTCCGCAGCCAGCAGGCGGCACCCCGGGCCGGGGCAGGGCCGGCTCCGGGCGCAGGCGCGGTCCCGGTCCCCGTCCCCGTCCCCATCCCCGTCCCCGCTCAGGCCGTTCCATCGCCCGGCCGCGTCTCCGCGGCACCGGGCAGCGCCGCCGCACCGGGCATGGGCACGGGCACGGGCACAGCGCGGGGCCTCCGGGGACAGCGGGGCAGGGGCGCGCTGAGCGGCACCGCGAGCATCGCCCCTCGGGGCCGTGGTGTCCGCTCCCTCGGGCAGGAACCTGGCGGGGCAGGGAGGCGTCCCCAGCCCAGGCAATGGGGGCTGGAGCTGCGTGAGCTCTGAAGGCCCTTCCAACCCAAACCCCTCCGTGGGTCCGGAGCCCGCACCCACCATCTCCTCACCCCAGCCCGCACCCACCATCCCCTCACCCAACCCAAACCCCCCCGTGGTTCCGGAGCCCGCACCCACCATCCCCTCAGCCCAGCCCGCACCCACCATCCCCTCAGCCCAGCCCGCACCCACCATCCCCTCAGCCCAACCCGCACCCACCATCCCCTCACCCCAGCCCGCACCCACCATCCCTTCACCCCAGCCCGCACCCACCATCCCCTCACCCCAGCCCGCACCCACCATCCCCTCACCCCAGCCCGCACCCACCATCCCCTCACCCAGCCCAAACCCCCCCGTGGGTCCGGAGCCCGCACCCACCATCTCCTCACCCCAGCCCGCACCCACCATCCCCTCACCCCAGCCCGCACCCACCATCCCCTCACCCCAGCCCGCACCCACCATCCCCTCACCCCAGCCCGCACCCACCATCCCCTCACCCCGGCTCTGCTGCCAGGTTTGGGGGCACATCCGCAGCACAAGGAGTGACCCAGCCCTCCCAGGGAAACCATCCCCGCATGGCAGCGCCATCAGCGCCGTCGCTGGAGCAGCCGCGGCCCCGCAGAGGCTCTGCACAGTGGGGTGAATAACACTGAGAGTAGCCAGGGGTCACACCAGCTGAAATAAAACACGTTCTTAATTAGCAAGATGGTAGAAACCCATTACTGAGACACGAGGAGTGCTTAATCTCACAAACCCAGATAATGACGTTCCCAGTGACCTGACCAAGTGTGATCAGCAGCACTGGAAGGGTTTTAAATACACAAAACTAATTTTAGAATTTAGATAATGATTTTTTTTTTTTTTTTTTTCCTGGCTTATACCCTGCTTATTAAAGTAAATGAGAAAAGAAAGCTATTTTAGAGGAATTTCTTTAGAAACTGTTTCCTTACGGAATTATTATTTATTTGTAGAAGAGAAACTGACCCAGTTTATTACAGTGTGTAACCTCAAATGCACATTGCACTCTGTAGGAAAAAGGATCTTGCTGACTGCTGGAACTGCCACATGGCAAAACACAAACCACACAGCCTTGGCAATAGCATTTTGGGGCAAACAGGTGATGTTCTTGTTAGATGCCATGTCCACGGAGTGCCCTCTGTAGCAAGCACAGCTGGAGGCTGGAGCATCTCGAGCTGCCAGAGATGCTGCATTAGTGCAAAGCTTTGATTCCACTGGGTTTAGAATTGTTCCCACCTTGTCTTGGTTGAACAATCCATCACTCAGGAGCTCCTGACCCGCACAGGCCATGCAGCCAGGAGCCCCCTGAGCCTTGGAACCTCCATCTTATAGCAAGTCTCTGAATCTGGAGAGAGAATCCCGTTGTCCTGCAGGGGCCTGCGGTGCTGCTGTGTTCACGGGAACAGTTGGCTCACATGAGGAACTAAACAGGCCTAAATCTTCACATGTGCTTTGTCACAGGGCCATGAGCTTCTGAAAGCACAGCATAACCTGGGCACAATAAGACCAAGCACCTATCCCTCACTTGAACGCATCTGCACTTTGGAAACCCAGATCCCACTCACAAGGCTGTTCCTGCTTCTTGTAAGAGAGAGCAGGTACAAGGGGTAATGTTATTATGCTTTTCCTGGAACAGATTTTCTTTGAGGCTACTGAAGTGCTTCAATCCTAATTATGGGCAATATTTATGAGCCAGAGGGCAAGGTTTCTGAAGGCTAAAACTGGATCAGTGGCGAAGCTGTACTGAAGTATTGTTGGCACTTGTTTATGCAAACCCCATGATACTTCGGATAATTTTATTTAAGATAATACATTAAGATTGAAACCAATTACATCATTCCCTCAATTAAAGAGAGAATTATTTCAGCTGGGTTTGATCTCAGCACTCTGTTTAGAACTCTCTAGTACAACAGTAATAGAGAAACAGTTCCATGGCCACTTCACGGAGAGCAAGTGATCTGGAAAGATACCCAACTTAGGGAATCATCTTAGAACAGCCTTACAGCGTTGCTTGTCAAATCTCATTGTCCAGTTTGGCCTCCTCATGAAGCTGGAGTCCTTGGCACCACCAGCACAGTGACACAGACCACTTCTTCAACGTGACAGTATCTAGGCAGACTTCATCCTGATGAGAAGGCAAGAAGAAAGAATAGACTGGCAATCAATAAACAGGTTCATTTTACTTTTAGCAAGCTGGAGTTCTGGGTTTCAGTCACAGAGCAGCAGCCAGAATGGCATCCCACTGCACACACCACTGTCAGGTTGGTCACTGTGTTCTCAGGTTGCTGACAGCACTTGTCACCAGGGACTATTGCACGTATCAGTGCCACCAGTGCTCCTCCTCAGCACTGCAGGTTGATGTGGGTGGCTGAATGAAAGGTGCCAGAGACCCTCACGCAGAGGAACTGTTGGATCATGCACTCCAAGCTCCAGAGAGGAGTGCTCAGCTTCCCTGCCCCACTACTGGTTCAGGTTAGCAGGCACCTGCGTTACACCAGTTTAACTCCATTTGACTTCAGGTAAGTTAGGAAGCAAAGTTATTCCTCATCTTTCTAAAGTAAGAGCTGTTAAATAATACCAGAAATGTCATTGCTTTCTATATAAAACCACTCTCTGTACCATTATAAGGCTTTTAATACTCCCATAAGTGAACAAACTGATTTTACTCTAAGAGTGCGTCTTATGAAAATATACTAACATATGTTCCTAATTTCCTAATGAAACATTTGGTTAACCTAAATAAATAAATAACATAAGCAGGAAAGTGAACAGACATGTAAACAAAAGGAGGCAGAAGTCACTATAAATTCAGGGCTGAATTGCTCAAACAGCACCAGAAACAAATCAACAGAAACCATTGCAGAATAGAGCAAATCAAGCAGGATATCTAATTTAGGCTGTAAAAGGCTAAACCGACCCACGCAAATGAATTAGGACAGACTTACCTGCCAGCTTAGGAGGAAGAATGATCAGGGGACTGGAGCACCTCCCATTTGAAGATAGGCTGAGAAAATTGGGGCTGTTCAGCCTGGAGAAGAGAAGGCTGTGTGGAGACCTCAGAGCAGCCTTCCAGTATCTGAAGGGGGCCTATAGGGATGCTGGGGATGGACTCTTCATTAGGGACTGTAGTGGTAGGACAAGGGGTAATGGGTTAAAACTGAAACAGGGGAAGTTTAGATTGGATCTAAGGAGGAAATTCTTTCCTGTGAGGGTGGTGAGGCACTGGAATGGGTTGCCCAGGGAGGTTGTGAATGCTCCATCCCTGGCAGTGTTCAAGGCCAGGTTGGACGAGGCCTTGGGTGAGATGGTTTAGAGCGAGGTGTCCCTGCTCATGGCAGGGGGGTTGGAACTGGATGATCTTGAGGTCCTTTCCAACCCTAACTATTCTATGATTCTGTGAAGAAGAGGGTAGAGAAGGCAGGAGGCAGCACTTGCATCACTGGAGGTTTGAGCACCTGCTGCTAATAGCCTTGTAAACCCTGCACTGCAGCTGGCACTGGGGATGAGAGGAGCCCTGCTCTGCCCTGAAGGGTGCTGTTACCCTCCTGCTGCCAGCTTTAGGGCTGCCCAGCAGGCATTGTGTGTATGCTGCTGCAGAGGGACCTGATGGAGGAGGTTATTGGTTAACTGGGGTGGAGTCAAAAGGCCCTGAGGCAGCTGGATCACAGTGATTACTATGAGCATCTTTAAAAATAGAGTTGGCACTACTTACAGAAACACTAATTATAGGCAAATATGTGACATTTCTCCCTTATGTAATGTTTATTGAAAGAATGATGTGTTCTTTCAGAGGGACTGCTTAAAATAAACATAGGCTTTTCTCTGTTGGCTTTCTCCTTGATGGAGAAGCATGTGAATTTTAAGGATTACGGTAATATTCTTTTCATCATCTTGAGCATGTTGCAATTATAGCCATTATTTTCAGTAAAGGGCTTTTAAGAGGAGTGTAATATCATGGTATATTGGCCCCCTTGTTTCTGTCCCTAAATCAGGAGTGTCTTACATGGCTCTGCAGTTTTGTGATAATTGGTCATGGTTTTCATTTTCATCAGCTCACTGAGCACAGATACCCTAAAGAATGTAATGCTGCTTCAGGCAGGTCTGTTTCTGGTTACACTGGCTTTATTCAGGGTGACTTCACTGATACCAGGCAACTTGATCCTGATTTATGGTGATGAAAGCAGGTGTCGAGTGGGACAATGACATCTTTGTCTCTGCTGGTGATGCCCTTGTTGATGTCACTTCTGCCATTCCACAGGCAAAGGCATCAAGAAATGTGGTGGGCTGGCATGAGGACAATCACATCCTCTTTTCCCACTCTTTTTCCCTACACCACATTCTGCAGGCTTCTTGGAACAAGACTATGATTCTGTGCTGTGGATTTCGCTTGTCGGAATCTTAGAGGGAATAAGAGAAACAACCCGGAGTGACAGATGGACAGCAACGGTTAACGGCCTCTTTCATACTTTGCAAAGGCAGAAGGGGGGAGTGGAAGCTGAGAGCTCAGCCATTTGCAGCGTGTTGGAAACTAAACCTGCCCCTGTACGAAGCAACACTTACTGCCTCCTACAGAAGTGTTGGCTTCTTATCTGAGAGTGACTCTTCTGATTTCTCACAGAAATATCCTTTAAGAACTATTCTTTGCCTTTGGAAAACTGTTCGTGAATTATAGCCTCCACCTGAGATCCTTTCCCAACTTCCAGGCTCTTAAATAATGACTAAATCTGAGCAAAATTTGCGTGAAGAGCGCAATAACCAAGATATCCTTTTCAAACTGTTCCATGGAGAAAAGAGCCTAAGGTTTAAATTAAAACCCAGGGAGCATCGCCTCAGAATTGTGCAAGCCCTTTCCTGAGGGTGTCACAGAGACAAAACAATGGCTGAACAGTCACTGGACAGTTCTGATGTGTTCCTCTTGTGTATGCACACTGCACGTGGCAGAACCAGCAGCCATAGACTTCACTGCCCACCTCTCCTGCCTCCTGGAAGGTGACCCCACAAGCCCAGTAGTTTATGGTCTAGTGGAAGGTGTCCCTGCCCATGGCAGGGATTGGAACTGGATGCGCTTTAAGGTCTCTTTCAGCAGAAACCAGTATGGGATTCTGTGATTTCAGGCCTAAACGACCAGCTTTAGGCTTTTATTCTCTGTATCACAACATCCTCCATGACTTCTTCAGTAAAGATCTCTAAGTGAGGAAGCTTCTGAAACGCAGTGGAACATCTGTACAAGAGAAACACTGACTTTCCAAGCTACCCACTAATTTAAATCAAGTCCTTAGTTTATTACAATAGCTGAATAAAAATCAACACAGCTGCCTTCACATTAGTAAGATCAAAGATTGGTAGTGAGTGCTCCTGACAGATTTAGGATGAACTATTTGTGCTTTCAGAACCAAACCCAATGTGGTTAGAGGCTGGGCCATGCTGTAACTCTGTGCCTTTCCTCAAATCACAGAATCCCGATCTGGTTTGGGTTGGAAGGGACCTCAAAGCTCCTCCAGCTGCAATTCCCTGTCATGGGGTGGGACCCCTTCCACTGGAGCAGCTTGCTCCAAGCCCCTGTGTCCAACCTGGCCTTGAGCACTGCCAGGGATGGGGCAGCCACAGCTTCTCTGGGCACCCTGTGCCAGCGCCTCAGCACCCTCACAGGGAAGAGCTTCTGCCTAAGAGCTCAGCTCAGTCTCCCCTCGGGCAGGTTCAAGCCATTCCCCTTGGCCTGTCCCTACAGGCCCTTGTCCCAAGCCCCTCTCCAGCTTTCCTGCAGCCCCTTTAGGCACTGGAGCTGCTCTAAGGTCTCCCCTTCAGGAGCCTTCTCTTCTCCAGGCTGCCCCAGCCCAGCTCTCTCAGCCTGGCTCCAGAGCAGAGCTGCTCCAGCCCTCGCAGCATCTCCATGGCCTCCTCTGGCCTCGCTCCAACAGCTCCACGTCCCTCCTGTGCTGCTGCCCCTGGGCTGGGTCAGGGCTGCAGGGGGGTCTCCCCAGAGCAGAGCAGAGGGGCAGGATCCCCTCCCTGACCCCGCTGTTCTCCCCCCGTGCGCTGCAGCCCAGCGCAGGTCGCAGCTCTGCCCCTTCCCGCAGTGCCCGCCTTTACCCGCAGCTCTCTCACACCTGAGCGGTCCCAGCGCGGCCGCGGAGCTCCGGGGCCCGGATCCACCCCCGGGGCAGTCCCCGCCCCGCCCCGCCCCGGCCGCACCTGCGGGCGGTGCCGCTGCCTTCCCGCCGCCGGGGGCGCTGCGCCGAGGGCGGCCCAGGGCGGCCCTGCCCGGCCCCGCCCCGCCCCGCCCCGCCCCGCCCCGCTCCCGCCCCCCGGCGCTGCGGCCGCCGGCTCCCGCCGCCCGCCTGGCTCCGCGCTCCCGGCTCCGCCGCGCTGTGGCGGCCCCCGCGGGCAGGGCTCGGGAGGCGGCGGCGCCGGGCGCTGCGATGCGGGCGGGCGGCTGAGGGCGGCGGCGGCGGCAGCGGCGCAGGGCAGCGGCGCAGGGGATGCCAACCGCCTCGCCCCGATGTTTCACTGGGGCAAGTGGAAGAAGAGGATGGGAGCGAGCGCCTCCTCCTCCAAGAGACCGGTCTTCGACGAGCGGGAGGACGGTGAGTGCGGGCCGGGAAGGCGAGCCCTGCTCCGGGGTGGCGAGCTCCGGGATGGCGAGCTCCGGGGTGGCGAGCCGTGCTCCGGCATGCTGAGCTCCGGCGTGCCCCGGGTTGCCCGCCCCTGTCTCGGGTCGTGTACCCAGTACCGGGATGCCCCGGAATGCTGAGCCCCCGAATGCCGAGCCCCCGAATGCCCAGCTCCGGCATGCCCCAGGTTGCCTCAGGGTGCTCTATCCGGCTGCTGGATGTCCCATTGTGCCCATTCCCGGGATGCTGAGCCCCTTCCCGGATGCCCATTCCCGGACCTGTTGAGCCCCGCTCCACTCGGCTCGGTGGGTCCCCGCAGCGCAGTAGGAAGGAGCCCGAGGTCCGCGGGTCCTGTCCCGGTGCGGGTTTGCCCGTCGGGCGCAGGGAGCGGAGGCCCCTGGAGCCGGTCTTGTGATACCGGGTAACGGGGGAGCGGGCAGCGAGGGGAGGGTTTAGCAGTGAAGTTTCCACCTGTGCAGGGAAATGTGTGTTTTTAACACAAACATCAAGCGGAGCTGGTCTCAGCTCCAAGCAGTGCGTGTCACTGCGGGGGGGCTGCCTCGGCTTTGTTGTAGTGCCACGGCTGCACGAGACTCCTGGGCTGCAGGGTGCTATTTCAGAGGAGCAGGGGAGGGAAGCTTGGACTGCGGGTGCGGGAAGCCTCGGGCGTGGTGGATGCTGGATGGGTGCTGGACCGCCGGGAGCAATCCCGGCACACAGAGCATGCTGTGCTGGCCCTGGGCACCCACTGAGCGCTGGCTAAACCCCTGGGTGCTCGGGGTGGTGGGGTTTTGCACCGGGTAAACTTGGAGTTACATATGTTAATCTTGGAGTCCTGTGCGTTAATCTCAGTCTTCGAGGCTGGTGATGTTCTCGTTTCTGTGAGCCCTGGCTCTGCCGGCGTCCCCTTGGTGAGGGGCGGCCAAACCCGAGCCTGTGCTGCTGAAGGGGAGTGAAACTGGGGCTGCTTTCCCTAGATAAGCAGCGAGTCGGTATCGCCAACAAGTGTTAACTGGCAGCTCAGAACCTAACACTGCGCTGTTAGCCCTTGTGTCTCGTACTAGGAGGTGTAGGGAAACAGCCCTCAGAACAGCAGCGGGGTGGTGGGGTCGGGTCGGGGTGACTGTGGTGTGTGTGCAGTGCTGCTCAGAGCGACTGTGGTTTTGTGCTCCAAGTGGAGAATGTTTCACCTGGGATGTGATGTGCTGGGTCAGCGGAACAGCGAGGGAGGAGTGAAGGCGCTTCAGTTGGAGGTTTCACTGCGTGAGTCAGAGATCAGTTTGTTCTGAAATCACCTCTGCTCTGGAGCCAGGCTGAGAGAGCTGGGCTGGGGCAGCCTGGAGAAGAGAAGGCTCCTGAAGGGGAGACCTGAGAGCAGCTCCAGTGCCTAAAGGGGCTGCAGGAAAGCTGGAGAGGGGCTTGGGACAAGGGCCTGTAGGGACAGGCCAAGGGGAATGGCTTGAACCTGCCCGAGGGGAGACTGAGCTGAGCTCTTAGGCAGAAGCTCTTCCCTGTGAGGGTGCTGAGGCGCTGGCACAGGGTGCCCAGAGAAGCTGTGGCTGCCCCATCCCTGGCAGTGCTCAAGGCCAGGTTGGACACAGGGGCTTGGAGCAAGCTGCTCCAGTGGAAGGGGTCCCTGCCCGTGGCAGGGGTTGGAGCTGGAGGAGCTTTGAGGTGCCTTCAACACAAGTAAATCTATGAACCAAGCCGAAATACAGCCAGTACAGGGAATGGAGCTCTGCAGGTGGATGACCACTGAGCAAAACCTGATAACATCCCATAAGGTCTTTTCAAGCAGTTCCTGCAGTTGTGGAGACTTATTAGGACTTTACTTACTTAATATTGCCTGCTTTTTTGCGGTGGCTTCTTAGTGTGTGCTCAGAGCAATTACTGTGTTGTTCTGGTGAACTCCTATTTACTGTCACGGCAAGGTTGCTATGGAGATCTTTTAAGGCATTCCGGTAACTTATATAGAGAAGCCAGCTAGTACTTTGGTTTTGTGTGTGACATAATGTGGAAGAATTACTAGTGATGGCAATTTAACATGAAATAAATAAAAACAAAAAAAAAAAGGGATCGAAAGGAGAGGTTAGTGCCTGAAATCTTACCTATGGGTGGCTTCAAGTGATGGGTATCCTGGAAGGAGCCTGACTGTCAAAATCCAATGGTTAATGCTGCTAATTATGACAGGGTGTATGGAAGTAGAAGGTTAACATTTATTCTAGTGAGCAGTAAACCAAGGCACAGTATTCACCCTCAGTATTCATCCCTCTTACCCTGGAGAGGGGCTTGGGACAAGGGCCTGTAGGGACAGGCCAAGGGGAATGGCTTGAACCTGCCCGAGGGGAGACTGAGCTGAGCTCTTAGGCAGAAGCTCTTCCCTGTGAGGGTGCTGAGGCGCTGGCACAGGGTGCCCAGAGAAGCTGTGGCTGCCCCATCCCTGGCAGTGCTCAAGGCCAGGTTGGACACAGGGGCTTGGAGCAAGCTGCTCCAGTGGAAGGGGTCCCTGCCCATGGCAGGGGTTGGAGCTGGGTGAGCTTTAAGGTGCCTTCAACACAAACCAGGCTGGGATTATGGGGTTCCGTATGATTCTTGCACAGTCAGGGCACTTGTCCACCATCACCAAACAAGGCCCAGTTGGGTGCCCACTGCCTCTCTGCTGCTGAGGACCATCCTCTCCCCATGGTAGGCTCAGGGCATTGTGATGTCTCGGCTCAGTGATCTTGGGGCTTGATTTTCATCTGGGCAGAAGTTATTTCCCGTTATCTCTCTGGGAAGCGTTATGGACATCCCCTGCAGTTTATTTGTGCTTTTGTTTTTATGCTAAGTGGGAAAATCTCCTTATTGTGAAGCCAACGGGGGTGTTTCAACGCAGATATTAAAACACAAAGTTTAGCAGAGTTGCTAGGACTTGGAACCAGGGCTGAGTGATAGGAAATAGAACACACTTGGTGCTATGAGCATTGCCCACAGTTGTGTTATGCGAGAGAGGGGAAAACCAGAGCCTGCTGTATCTTTATATGCAGCGATAAGAGGAAATTCAAGCTAAAGAGAATTTCAAGCATGCCTTTTGGTTGTGGCTTCTGAATGCAAGCTGCTTACTAAAAGAGTGTATGTAAATACCCATGGGAGTATGTAAAGCCATCTGCGCCTTCTGCTGAGGGCTCCTTCCTTTGCTCACACCAAGGTGAGTGCTCCAGGCCTTCCTGCCCCTTTCCTGGTGCTGGGGGAGGTTTCCAGCCAGTTCCCGAGGTTTCAGTGCTGCAGCCCCATTGCTTGTGTCGTGATCCGTATTTTGTCTGGATCCCTCTGTTACCCATGCCCTCCCTGCCCCTGCCATCGTGTGCATGTCTCTTTGCAAGGGGGTCAAGTGCGTTCCGCTTGCATCAGCATCAGCTTTTGAAAGCAAGTTCCCAGATTTACAGCCCACGGGCTCCAGTGACCCAGTGACTCCAGGTGTGGACTTGGGGTCAGTTATTCACAGAATCCTGAATCCCAGGCTGAAGGGACCTTGGGGATCATCTGCTCCAACCTCTGCAGGCACAGCATGACCGGGACTGGATGTCCCAGCACCCTGTCCAGCCAAACCTTTACAGTGTCCAGTACTGGGGAGTCACCACTTCCCTGGGGAGATTATTCCCATGGCTGGTTGTTCTCATTGGGAAAAATTCCCCTTTTGTGTCCGGTTGGAATCTCCCCAGGAGTAACCTGTGCCCATCACCTTTCCCATGGGAATCCTTGTGCAAAGGCAGTCTCTGTCTTCTTTGTACACACACTTTAAATGCTGGCACCTGGTGCTGAGGTCTCCCTGAGCCTTCTCTTCTCCAGCTGAACTGTCTCAGCTCTCTCAGCCTTTCCTCATCCACTGCCCAGCCCTTGGACCACCTTTGGCTCAGGTGAAGTGACCATGGGTGGCTTTGCCTCCCCCCCTAGGGAATGACCCCCGTTGGAAAACTGATGGCTCAACTCATACTGGGAGAGGCACCAGATGGGTTTGAGGAGCAAACCCCAGCTGCAAGGGTGTGGGAGAAGTGGGGCGAGGGCTTCCCATCCTGGCAGGACACTGGGCTTTGCAGCCATGGGGCGGATGTGTGCTCTCTACTTGCTTGGGGCCATGCTGGTTTCATTGGCCATGGGGCACCATCCAGCACGGTGGTCAGTCTGCCCTGTGGCATGATGTACTGGCTGATGTGGGTATAATAGAAGAGGCACTCTGACCCCTGCTGCGGGTTTCCGTGCTGAGAAATGCTGTTGTGTAAAAACAGGTTTCTGTGGCAAAACAAGAAAACTGATACGTGTCTTGGGGATGCTTTGCTGGCCGGGCAGTGGAAGGGGTCCCTGCCTGTGGCAGGGGTTGGAGCTGGGTGAGCTTTAAGGTCCCTTCCAACACAAACCATCCTGTGATTGTGTGGCTCTTTTGGATGTGCTGGGCCCAGGGACTCCTGCAGCCTGGGCATCACTGGAGGGACAGTCCCCGCTCTGCCTCCTCCTCATCCTCACCCTCGCAGAGCCCGCGAGAGGCTGGAGAGCCCCGGCAGCAGCACACAGCGCCCGTCCCCATGGAAACGGGCGAGAAGCTGCAGAACCTGGGGAAATGTGCTTAAAATAATCCCTGATCCACTGCAAGCGGCGTGCGGGCAGGAGGGGGTGACAGAGACCCGGGGCAGGAGGGGGTGACAGAGACCCGGGGCAGGAGGGGGTGACAGAGACCCGGGGCAGGAGGGGGTGACACTGACCGGGGGCAGGAGGGGGTGACACTGACCGGGGGCAGGAGGGGGTGACACTGACCCGGGGCAGGAGGGGGTGACACAGACCCCGGTGCATGCAGCCCTCTGTCCCCCGCCAGCAGCGAGCAGAGCCGGGGTTCACTGATGCGCTGCGCTGGTGCCAACCCTGCCTCTTGCACGGTGTCGTCCTGATGCCGGGCTCTGGGGGCCTCCAGCCGCAGTTGAGGGAGGATGCTCAGATCCACG